AAATTAACGTGCCCTTATAATAATTAACGGATTCCCTTAACTTGAAGACAAATGACGAAAAAAAAACACACTTTTCTTACTTTTCCGCTTATTAATATTTATGTGGTATAATTTTAAAATATTGAGGCATTTTTATCAAAAAAACGTATAATAATATATAAACTGCATAAAACATTCGTTGTTTTAATAAGGATGTATCTTAATGAGGTCTATCTGTTGATCGCTGGCAGCCCTAATGCAAAAAACAGTATCGGGTAGTGAATGCACATTAAGATTCCTCTCTCATCCTCCGTGTGTGATTGTAATGTTCTCCAAACACCCGGTATCTGTCCTCGCCCACGGCCCGAGCCTTCAGACCTCACCGCCATGTACTTACTTACTTACACATTTACATACAGTTTTAGTTTTTATAAAATAACAAAATGACTCACATGTAAAAACAAATGAATTTGAATATTACCTTATCGGATATAGTTGGTTTTTATGAAGCTATAAAATATTTTTTGTATGTAACTGATAGCGAGATTTATGTTTGTAATTAATACATATATGTAGTTTCTGGTAAGACAGCATTATACGCTAAAAGCTTAAAAAATTGGAGCAATACACTTCATTTTGTCATTATGGGCTTCAGTTAAATGTATATCTATAAATAAATACTAATTTAGTATTACTAACTATTCAATATCTTCTCTGGTAAGGTCCCAAGTATTTCTGAATCAAAGAATATTTTAAGTTTAGCTGGACCAGATCACATGATCCAAACATAAGGCATGTGTATCAAAATATTAGTGACTTAAAATTCTCTTAAACACATGAAGCAATATTTACGTCTCTCTTCATTTAATGATGCACTTATATTTTACAACATATGTCAATTTTTTTGTCAATAGTCACATCTCCAAGGAGCCCCCTCCCCCCTTCCCCCTCTCGCCCCGCGGCCACCCTGCTGAAGGTCCGCAAAATAAAATAATATCATATCTCCTAACCGAATCTATCTTTTGTTAAAATGGATTCATGGATGTAGGAATATTATAGGTGGTATTGGAAATTTATTTTTATTTAGAGAAAAATAATTAAATAAAGTAACTGTAGAATTTAGAAGTATGTACTTTTATAGTATTTTGTATAAGATTTATTGTCACAATAACTCTAAGGATTGTCTTGGAGAAATGTCCTGAACGTATTCAACATTGCCGCATCCATAGTTTCCTACATCCGACAATGCAGCTCACCGCACTTTCGTTTTTATGATGTTAAAATGTTCCTTTTTTAGAACATTTATCATGCGGTCAGTGTTTCCTTGTATTGTTGTCAAAAAACGAACAAATGAAATACTTGTGGCGGAGAGAAAATATAGAAACAGTCACGTTACACATATTGTGGTTCAGACAGACCTGGAGGGAGAAGCTGAGTTGTTTTATGAAAAAAATTCACTTTTATTTAAGCCTTATATTATATTAATTATATTTTTAAATTGCCAACACTTATATAATGTATAGGTATTTTAAATTCAATAATGAGCCACCAATCTGTACCGCGGAGACACGACGCGAAGTGAAATTTAAATTCCTCCGTGGACAGTTTGTTATCAAAATCAAATTAGTTTTATTAGCAAGCACATTACCAATCAGATATGATATCGAGAATATTTTGTTTATTTGTATATAAAAATTACGATAAATATATTAAAATCTAATTAAAATCTTCATGGGTTCCATGGTTCCATGCGTATTATGAACTAATAATATAATAAGTTGGTGTAATTTACTCAATAAATATATTATTGAGTAAACTCGGAGCCAGTCTCCGGTAATGCACGCACACACACAACCCAGTATCGCCATAAATTACGGATATATCAAATGATTTCGATACTCCCGCAATTAACACTGACTGGTTTTTAGTGATGCGCCTTGCTTACATATCGATAATTTATTACCATCGATATAATTCTCGTTCTCATTAGAAGGATTGATTAACTTAAATAATGTATAAAGATTTGTAACAAAATCTGTTTGTTCTTTTGTAATTATCTCTGTTTTGTCCTAATAATATACATCTCAATATAAAGTATATCTTTTTTTTTTTAATTATCGTCATCCCATTTATTTTATGTATTGTATAAAATAATCAAAAAAGACCTATAATTTTACGAAAACTATATTAAAACTTAATTGAATACAATCGTTCCATCGATGTTTTGTATAGATAGATAGTATAGATAGATCGATAGTCCCATCCCTAGTCCAACAGAAATAGTTCCACCCGATAGCCAATAGTGTAATGAATGTCTTGAGTACAGTATGTATAAGATAATAACGTTTTCATCTAAGTGTGTTCAAGTGTGGCCTGTTTTTACAAAATTCAAATTCTCATACCGGTTTCCGTGTTCCGTGTCACTACACACTACATACTAAACACTTATAAACTTTATTCTGTAGTCCTTAAGTATTTTATTGTTTGACTCTGTTTTCATACATTTATATAAAGATGACTTTTGCTATTAAAATGTTCGGATGACCTTACTGATAGATCTCTGTACGTTGCTCTGTGGTAGATATTAACTTATTAATACATTTTAAGGGGAAACTTTTCATATTTTATTAAATATTTTTCTATTTTGACAAGAATAAAAAATATATTTGTTCTTGCAAGCATACGAAACCATATATATGACTGTGTTAATATGTAATTAAAATTGCGTAAGTGAATATAAAATTTTGTAATAATTAATTATTATAATGACCTTTAATTATTCTTTGTGATTAAAACCGAGTGATGTTATAAAATCTAATAAATATATCAATTTCAGTTGCATAACATGAGATAAAAAAATTCGTCAAGTCTCTAGATGATGTTAAAGAACAAGTTTTTGATTGTTTGTAAGTTGTGTATTTTGATTCGATTCAATAGTGATAATTTTATTAAAATCATGTTTATTATAATTATCTTATTTAGTGTAAGGGATTTTTCTTATTAAAATTACATCCAATGAAAGTAAGTAAGCACCTATGTAAGTCAGTAGTGGCATAGTGGTTAAAAGGCCCGCCTCTCATGCATGAGGGCACGGGTACGATCCTGGCCCTGGCAAGTACCAATGTGATTTTTCCGAGTCATATGTACTTTCTAAGAGTATTTACTATTTAGACATCACTGATTAATGCAATCCCAAAAAGGGTTGATGTCAGGCAGGCGGCCGGTCGTAAAAACAATTAGCCAAAACTATTCACAGCATGTAAGGCAGACCCTGGCTAAAGCTGGGAAATTGCCAGGTAGAAGATGATTACATCCAATGAAAGCAGTTAGAGCATCTGTATGCTTAGAATAAGTTGTCATCGTCACACACTCAGAGTTAATAGTTTTTCATTCATACATCTTTTCATATTATAATGTAGGTTGAATGAATAACGGAAAACGGTTCGTATCTAGTATAACGCAAACTTGTAGTAAGCATACTTCACTGTAAAATATAGATTTTAAAATGAATTTGTATAATTGAGAGCTACTAATATTATTCTATCAACAGATATTACTTCTAGATAATACGAGGATTTTATCTACATGTAGTGCGTATTAAATACTAATATATTAGACCCAAAAGACATAAGAGAGAAATCTAATTGATAAAGCTTCAAGTGGCTAGCTTAACTTTACAATATCAGTGAAGTATTCTGTCAGAAACACTAAATAAAAAATATATATAAATATATATGTATATATAATATAGTAATACAGTCGCCCACACGTCCATACATCATACACACCGGATAAATATATCACAAGTATGACGGACATCAGGACACACCGACCGACTGTCAGTAACACAAACGATTTGAATATATACAATGAGATTTATTAAAAGAAACGCCATTTGTAAAGAAATTAATTTAATCAATATTGCTGTTTTCGTGTTATTATTGAATTCGCATTATAAAAGTCGATCGAAACGAATCAAATCGTACCCGGTTGGTGGAACTAAGAATAGAAAGATATACGACTTTCTAAAATGATAATAATAAGTGATTTCATAGAAAATACTCGGATATAATTACTTATATTACGTGTTGTATATTTCTTATTAGGTAATTCGTTGTATTTCTTACTACTTTTTAAGATTTCATGAGTTCTTCAGTTTGGATCCGACTCTGCCTGCGGACAGCTGTGAACTATTCATTTCATAAAACAAAGCGTACCGAAGCGTCAATTGAGCTATTGTACGTAGTAATGGCCGCCGTAAATCACAAACGTTAACTGCTAGCCGATCCTTTACTGACCGTTAAACTTACATGCAAATAAATAGTTCCTCGGTTTTAGGTGAGTTTGATGTTTTAAGTTACAAGGTGGTCTCTTACACTATTAACGGATCTGTGTGAGATAGGAGTCTCCTAGACTAGTTTCAATACTGAGCCTGATTAAATGCTCAATATTTCTATATTTGTAGAAGTGTGAAGCTAAAAAGCAAATACGAATAATATAATACATATTTATAAGGAGATCTTATTGTTATTTGTTAAGTTTTTCCTGAGTTCAGTGTCTAGTTCAGCCTGTTTCCTCTACTTCTCTAAGGTATACAAACACTTCACATAACATCACTTCTATCTTACTTTATGACCTTCATTTCTTAGTTGTAATGCTTCTAGTATAGTGGCCACACGATCACACACTCTGATGCTTCATCTTCTGTTCAGTCTACACTTAGAGGCTTCTTAGAGCTAGTTATTATTAGATTACCCGCTATCTAGACTTCTCAGTATACTTTCATATACAGTGGAGACTTACATTTTATTACGAAGTTATTTCAGATCTTTACATGGAATACTACAACAATACTACAAGATTCTGTGAAAACTACATCAATTAAATGTCTGTCTCCCTGAATTTTATCATATATTACACTATTAAGGAAACATTAGTCATTGTAGTGTCTTAGTTATCAAAAATACAGTTACATCGCGGGCGTAAAGGTTAAGAGGGTAGTGAAAATGCTGAAAAATGTGTCAGGCGGACAGAATGTGAGCATTGAAGTGTGTGATCAGGGGTGTGTTGGTGAGGGTGAGTGTTGTCTCAGGGTGGCGCGGGAGGGAGGCTGGCCCGCGGCGCGACCTCCGACCCTGACCTACAGGCTCAGGCTCCGCTGCAGCACAACCTACACACATACTGGGTTTGTACACCACCACCTACCTGTTGGAACTGCTTCAACAACTGTTACACAATCATTAAAACACACATCCATAAGTCACAGTGAGCTGATGAACCAACGCGGAGTAATTAAATACATTACACATGTAAAATAATGTATAATTTATGATGATTAAAATGTGAAACTTTGAAACCAGATTCAGACCCGCGCTGTTTCGTCATCAGTAGTGCTCATTAGAAGCTTTGTTTGTTATATGTAACATACATACATACAAACACTAGTGAAGGACATCACTATAATATAAGAATACAGTCTCCGCTTTCACTTTCTATACATTTTCTAAATACGACGCTCGTTTTAAACTTGAAATAAATGTAACATTATAGTACAGTATAAAATCAATATAAAATCTATATTAGAGGAAAAATTATTAGTTATTCTGTTTCTTTAATAACAATTAATATGTATGAAGATATTCATCGCGACATTAAAACCTCTTTAGATGTACCAAATGACGCAACTGTTCGGACTTGCGGCTCAATAAAAAAAAAATATTAGAAACATTAAAATGGCGAAATAAAAACTAAACCTGAACGTCCTCTGTCTACAGTCATTAATACAGAACGAGACCGTGGGCGTCTACAGTCGTCCTTAAACTATTAGACAAAGAGGTTCATCTAACAAAAATTACATATTTTATTACAAATACTTACCAAACAATACCTGCCATTCTAAAATGAACTCTATTCCTATGTTAATAAGGTCGACTGGTCGTGCTCGTCGTGTGAGCCGTCCTTCTGTTATTTATTGCACAGTGCGGCGCTGCTCGTTCCCAGACATTATTCTAATATAATTCGTATATCCAAATGCCGAATGTATTTAATAGAAATCACTGACATTGTTTATTACTAACAGTACCGGCGCGGAGACGTGTTCCCAAACTTTATATTTAAATAATAATTAATATTTGTTCATATTGCTTGAGCTTGAGTGTATTCTTATATTTCCATTGAGTACTTAACTAGTACACATCACTCGTCGTCGCCTGTATTCGGTGTTAGTGAAAGCATGTGATATCCGTCCTTGCTACGCGTCGTAGAGGTGCTACGCGGCCGCTACGCCCGTAGCCTCAAGTTTGGGAAGCGCTACCTGTCGTGTTTTATGGCGTATTATGCTATAATAATATTTTTTACTTAGCACGTTTGTTTACAACCTGTGTGTGTGTGTGTGTATGTGTGTGTGTGTGTGTGATCACCGCTCACTTTAGATATTTAAAACATAATAAAATGTTAGTGAATATGTTCGTTTGATTTACACTGGTGGAGTAATTAGATACGTGTGCTGGTTTACGACCCACCACCAACTATGTATTATATTATACTATACATAACATGTTATATTAATAATATACTTGATAAATATTATTATACGTATTTATATATTAGGAATTGTAGAAAAACTAATATTGTATATTGATAGCTGTATTTGTATGTTTTTTCTTCTTCTCAGTACAAGTCAGTGAGTTAAACTCAACTCAACTATACAATTATTCCTTTGTCATATTCATGTTTCTTTTATCTTAGAAAATTCAGGTTTATGTCGTGAAACACTCACACTGATTTTATATATTATATATTAATTAATAATAAGACATTTTTCATAATGAGTGGAATGTTAACACGAGAGATATAAAATCAATTATTATATCAAAGTGAGTAGTAATGACGAACAAACATACAAACTGATCAGTTAATTTATAATATGTATAGTAATATATGTAGTAATATATATAGAAGTAATTGTTATTTATTATAATAATCTTCCGTTCAATCAACACCAACATCAATAAATGAACAATTTTTCCTTATTTTAAATATGTAGTAATATTTTAATTATATACAATAAAATATATACATAATATATGTTAATAAACTTCTTTAATATATACATATATATATGTTATTATCTATAGAACAGCTAGTACTGGTTGTAATCGTCCGTCCGTCCACACTCGTACATCAGATCCGAAGATATCAATTAAAAATGTAATCTATGTTATTAACACGATTAATGGTCGGACCACACGCGCTCACCTTACACTACACACTACACCACACACTACACACTACACTACCAACAGACAAACATACATACACACATATAGTATTATAACATTTAGTGTCTTACATTGACCTTACATAGTGTCCCTATGTTTAAACAACAATATATACCCAAATATATCTATTGTTATATAAAATGTATCTATTTTGATGTAAAGAATGAGTTTTTGAGTGATTCTACATAAAATTAATGATCTATTAACGTCAAATATTATCACATATCAGAGATGAGACTTGGGTAATGTGTCAAAGTTCTGAGAGTCCATAAACTGTTCCTTGGACGGCGGACCAGCGAGGATGGAGTACCTACATTACTACTGACCGGAGTTTTATTGAACGTTTTAACGATCCTTATTTAACTATCAACATTTTATACTTACCTCTAGTTAGTTTAATTAGTTTGGACGATTAAGTATTCGATCGACGGTCCAGCGTTAGACGAGGCGCGCTAGAGTAGCTATGTACGACGGTGGTTCCGTATATATTATTAGTAGTAGATTTATTTTCTAAACAAACTAATAATTGTTCTTATATTACGATAATATCAAAGTAAATGACCATCATTACATTTGATAATTACGATGAAACAAACAAACAGTGATGCCATGTTCGTGTTTATGCCTACTAAATAGTTTTTAAGTACGTCCATATAATGTATAATATCTGTTCTCCTGTTAATTCGTATCTCCTATTATAAGCGTATCTCCAGTATCGCCGCGGTAAACAGTTTTAATATCTGGACCATAATCAGATTGTGTTGAGCCTCGTAAACGATGTTTATTGTACAATAACCGAGCGGTCTGTTCCTCCGAGCCGGCCATGTGACTATTGTGAACTTTTATGAAGCATATTAACTACCATTTATATGAATCTGTATCTGTTCATTTGTTACTACTTAATGTATTACAAGCTACTTCGGTTTTATTCATCATCAAGAACTACATTATATGTATATAATCATTCATTAATATATATAAAGTTTCACCAAACAAATCGTCTTTACGACTGGTTCTTGTCTTATTCTCTATATCACCAGCCAGCCTCCCGGTCCAGCCAGTCGTCGTCTCCGTGTATTTCGGGTCACATCTCGTTATTTCTATTTTATTGTATGAATACATAATGTTATGGCCGTCGAGTTGCGACACCGCCAATTGCCGAACTTACTACGGTAAATTGTCAAAGATTAACATAACACTAATTGGATGTAGAGGAGCGACTGAAGGATTATAAAATAATTTGATATTTTGATACGAGATATGATATTAAAGTATTGTCCTACCGCACGCTGCGTATCGTTGTCTCTCCCTAATATCCTCTAGTCCTCTTAGCAACAAGTTATTAAAGACCCGTGATGATTTCCATCCATAAATTCGTTTGAAACATCAATGATAGATTAATAAACAACAGCGTTTCCTGCCACTTTACATATGGCCGTGACCACGTCGCTCCCCGTCTTCACTATATATACTGATTGATGGAAATTATACGTGGGGTTACAGCGAATACAAGAATCTGTTCATTAACTGGTTCATGTATATGAAGTGGTTTGAATTTAAATTGTATTCGTATAGTGTTATTTATTCGATGAAGATGCACGTAATTACTTTCGTCGTGTAGGTATAATACTGGACCCGTACCCTCTGCGACACAACTGATCTCTAGCGCCATTAGAATTGAATTTGATAAGTAGGTATGTGGCATATGCTTGTTTATGAGAATCCCATATCTTTATTATTCAAATTGGTGGCCAAACCGGTCCGCGTTAAAAATAATTGCGTCGGTGTACTATATAACATAGCTGTGTGCTTTAATGTTTCGATTCACGAATATTTTATTTTATATTTGAGCTGTTTGGATGTGATCATACGAAAACAATGCACGCCACCAGTAACAAGGACGCGGATATTCAATTTATTGAATTCGTGCGAAATATTTAGCGAGGCGATTTCCTCTAGGTAATGATGTGTTATATTCAGTTTGTATCGGGTGCGTAATGTCTTCCGCTCGTCTATACTGTTACGAATTGTACATTATTTTTATGTTTCTCGTTGTTCGTACCAGCTCCCGTCTGTACTGCTGGTCATCCACAGCCCGAGGTCTCTCGCCACGCATTAAATAATCCGATTCCATTCCATCGCGTCCCATTATCAAACGTTACACACATTATTAATGAATTATGTATACGATGAGCAATAAACATCTCTGAGACGTTTACGAGGAACAACTCTAATTAAAACGGTTTAGAAAGAAAATTTCGATTATGGAACTATAATTGGTGAGAGACCAGTCGACTATCGAGTGTCGCTTGAGGTACCTTACCGTGGGCTCTGAACATCAACACATAAAAATTAAATTCAGACAACGTGTGATATACTTAGATATAAATAGCTAGCGTGGGTCAAAGGCCTTGTGTCTATTGAAAGAAATTTGATAGCAGGTCGAATACAGGCTGTACGACTAAAAACGTTAAATTATGTTGAATATTTTAGCATCACAACTAAACTAAAGATCGATGTCTCCACATAGAAACGAATTAGCGAACCGCTGTAGTGTCGTTCTTCCTACATTACAAATATTCAATATGTTAAACAAAATTTATATTCTTACAAAACAAAACATTATTCTAGTTATGTAATGAAATAAAGAGTTATGTATTGCGTGGGAGTAGAGTCCGACGACCCGGTGCAATACGAAGCTTTATAGACACACACAAATATATATATACTTATATATGAAGCTAAATGAGAGTCTATGAAATATAACAACTTTCTATGTGATTTACGCTATAAAAGATGTTTAAGAAGATTAAACTACAGATCGATGTATGACTTGACAAACATTGCCAGGACGATCGGCTATTATAATAAGTTTTAATAATTTGATTAATCAATAAAAATATCTTCGTTCTGAACTGACTGCAATAAAAGTCAATGAACAATTAGTCAGAAGAAGTCAGTAACCAAAGAATAGATGTATAGATAGATAGTCAAAAGAATTAGATTAATTCCAGGGCCGTTTGAAGTCTCCTTTCACCAGTCTTCTTTATCGTCAGTGTTATAATGTATTGTACATGTCCACCGTTCACCCAACACCCGTGTAATTATTAACCGCCTTTATCTTCTACGGAATGAGAACATATTTTATGGTTTCTAGCGACACGAACAACGAGCGTTATTTAACTAACGGCTAATAACAAAAAAATATAATACTTGCTTAACATTTTTATGATTTTTCGTACTATTTGCTGTTAAAAATGATTTATTTAAAAGATTATGACTAAATAATGTATTGATTTTCGATAGGATAATATATTGATTTTCGATAGCTAATAGTCGTACTTAGACCATTTAAGTCTAGACGGTCACTCATGAGACTGTACCTGGAAGACCAATTAGCTGAACATATACCCATCTATCCATCGTTTTTAAATTCGTCTCCACATATAAATCTGTTTAACTAATATCTAACATGTACACAAATAATAAATATAAATATTTTGATATACTAATGGTTGTATCCTCCTGCTTCACACTTCCCTTATCTTATCTTAATTAGATATTACCAATTAAATTTGTACTGAAATTTTAATGTCACTTAGATGAAAAAGTTATTTGCTTATAGCTTCTAATATATGTAAATAATTTTATTTTTTTGTACCAGTGACATAACGTTCACGTGTATTTCTTTGTAAGTCTGTATCGCAGCAGTTAATACTTCATTCCAATACAGCTTTCAAATTTCACTGGTGACTCTAATCAAGCTACAATTGATTATACAATTATAACTCTTATTGCGATGTCATAGAGTCGAATTGTTTTTAATTAGCTGTACTGTGGTGGGGACCATATCATTTTGAAATTCCGATTTTGTAGATATAATATCTGTTAGCGGAAACATTTGGCCATTACCAGCGTGTTACCAATATAGAAGATTATAAACACACGGAATCATTCTATCTATATACACGATGCGTTTACTTATCACTAAAAACAATATAAAAATATAAATCTTAGATAGGGGACTCTTAAACCTACACCTGGGTCACAAGTCCCAGTCACTGTTGAAGCTCCTCTCTACAACGATGGACCCGACTCACGCATATGAATACATTGAATGCTGAGAGGTTTCGTCTCTTCAATAGAGATGCTAGATCAAATCTAAACTAATCTATATTATTTCTCGTTCCAACTGTATGTTTTATTAAACACGCGTCGGTCTCGTACGTTCTATCGTCCCGTGTAGTGTCGGGGGCGCGTGGTTTATTGGCTGCGATCCGATGTAATATATTCAGATGGCAGATCAAATGATTTTAATTAAGCAAAGATAGTTAGATCCAGCGCTCTGCATAACGGTCACCGGAGATATATTGACGTATCAGAATAAACTTCATATATATATATGAATTATTATTAACTATTCATGTTCTATTTTATACACCATACTTTGTAATATTATTCGTGTTCATACGACATCTTTTAAGTTATTATAAGTACATATTTTTGAAGCTAATTTAGCATAAAATCATTTAAAGTCTGTGAGCTATAGATATAATAAATGAATACGTACCAAAGACTTATTTCTATTATGCCTAAAATCAGTAGTATGAACAGTCACATGTGTATCACTAGTTACGGAGCTGAGGACATATTTTTTTTGCTCGCAGATGTACAGACGCGGATGTAAGCAAATGTTCGTCATGTGCACTCATACAGGTCCAGTACCAAACTTATGGGATTCCGTGATAAAATGTAAAAACGTTTATATGACAGAACGATCTCTCCGGTACAATAATTAATCCTACAAATTTCTTATTCTATTAAAGAACATCATTTCCAATAAATTTTATCAAAGAAATAATAACCAAAAAAACTTAAATAATTTAATAAATGACATATTATAATATTAAATATTTCCTTTAATATTAAATATTATCCGGAACCCAGCTCGTATCTGGTACGCGCCATACACAGCATGAAGTTAGTTTATTTTTTGCGGCACTTTTCGGAAGTGCAAGGAGCGTGCCATCTGTCGTCTCATATTACAAACTATTTGACCCCCGTCTCACCCCTCACCCCTCACCCCTAAAGCCTCACCCTTCAACCCTCACCCCGCTTTAAATGTGCCACCAAACTGTGCCATGTTAAATTAAAATTTTGTAATTTATTTAAATTTATTACGTTAATAATGTAATTCTTCTATTAAAGTTATTAATTAAACGTACAAATATATTATCAATTAACCAGTTATACAAATATAAAACATGCATATTAATTAGAAAAATTCTTACGAAATCAATACACACACAAATAACATTTAAAACTAAAACATACAAACATAACACGAGACATAAACACAAACTTGAATTACCCAAGACCAGGACCAAATATGGAATTAAAAGTATACAGTTTGAGGGAGCGAAACTATATAATGGCTTGCCTGACGAAGTGTTTGATGAAAAAACGTTTGTGATTTTTAGGAGGAAACTATTGCATTATTGTAGGGAGCACTTGGATTAACCGCTCTTGAGTTCTATGGTTCGTTGCTACTGTACTGAATTGTTGTTTTAATTGAATTGTGTTTTACATCTCATTCAAGTGAACATTGTTCTTTATGAGAGAAATAAAGTTCTTTAACCACAAAGTCGTTATTCTGCAACACCAATATCTACGCGTTATATTCAGCAACTTGTTACATAACAATATACAAATAGGTACATATAAATCGGTTCTATAACAAACGAGCCGATTTTACAATACATGTGGCAAATGCTATTTGAAGAGAAATAAAATCCAGAACTACGTGAGGTTATTCATAGAAGTTCAACTAAATATATTTATTTATTGAAAGCATTTATACAAGTAACATTTATACGAATAAGGAATAATTAATCTTAATAGTAATCATATAAGTACGATTGAGCAAAACTGAATGAAGAAACTAGTCATGACAAAAGATATGATAAGTCAGTGTCGTGAACAGTAAACACAGAACACCAATTAACGGACTCGGTTAAAGGAGTTTTTATGTATCATAATAGACGAAAATCGCGAAAACATTGAAGCAAACATTTATTGATGTTGTTAAATTTTATACACGTTATTAAACTGTCTCAGAAACATGTACGTGTTTTTATATTCTAACATTGGAAGTTAATTGTGGCGTTTACCAATTATTCCGATGTTTTGATTCTATACAGATAGTTATAAATAAAATATTTTTGGGATTTTTTGTCAAATAATCATGTTTTAATAATAAAAAGTCAACACTATTGTACCTATCAATTTCTATAAGTTACATTGGAGAAACTATTCTTCTTTCAACATAATACCATTGCTTCTAATTTAATATTTTTTAAATCAAATTCTATAATGTCAGTAAATGGCGAAGCACAATGATCGTTTTAAATAAGGCTTCCATTACCTGACGTTATATTATTTTATATTGACCTTCATTAATCATATTTTTTGTATGGATGTACCTGCTGCCTTGCTGCCTGTACCCTGTACCCTGTACCCTGTAATGCTTTTAGATTTAAGTCCTTTAGATATGACCCTGATAGGGATTGTCTCTTATTTGTACATATGGATGAGGTTCCGTACACAACCACTAAAGTTAAATATATAGTTTAATAAAATACAATAGTTTTTCTGATGTTATGTAATGATATAAGATTGCATTTAATTTACTTAAATATTCAAGATAATTTAATTATATTATTAATCAATACGTGGATACCTGACGGTAAGGTTTTTTTCGTACAGTAATAATGATGTTTTTCAAGTCTTATTATATTATTTGCGGATCTCTAAATGATCTTTTTGTCAAGTAACTCCTAACTATAAACAGTTAGACCCACCAGCGTTATTCTTTTAATAATATAACCGATTGTCTCTCGTTTTTGTAACGGATCGTGTGCACAATATTATATTACGACTTACGTCAAATCCTGTACCTGTTTCTAACATAAACGAACACATTGCATTACTAACTTTATACCACTTATGATAAAGTCGAATTTAGATCGAATCTGATTCGTATATCAAGTCAATCGTAGATAATTTGCTATCAGTTTTAAACTCTATGCCATAGAATTTATTTTGGGAATTGTTTGCAGCATATGTAATTTATGTAGCGGTCGGCGATCTATACTGAGCTTTAGTGACACGTGATAAAGTTTATGTTTCAATGGCAGGGTGGACATGTGTTATGTTTAAAGCACAATTTAATTCCGACCAGTTGACAGGTAGGATTTTTTTAATATTTACGGATATCAGACGGGGGTCGTTACAACCATTATCTTCGCACTAAGCAGGTAGAATTATAGAAATATAATACACGAGAAATTAAATTAATGATAAGAATACTCTAGGAATTTGTTATATCTTAGTCTCCTCATCTTCTTTTCACATCACCGTGATGTAGTGGTTTTATTGAGGTTCTGGCTGTGTATTGAGGATCGGAAGAATTAATTATTTTGCTCTTTATTTAAAGCAAAGGTCAAAAATAGCAAGTTAATAATTCAAAATGTACTTAGAGTACACAACATATACCATAATCTCTATATCCCAACAGTTTCTCCAATTATTTCACAAATATTAATATCAAAAATTTTATGTAGCTTCAATAAAATGTGGATTCTCTTAAGGAGAGTTTTAGCAGTAAATTGGTATAATTATGAAGGTAAAACTAATTGCCACCTAGAAAACAGTGTCTATTATATACTAACAAAATTTAATACCCGGGGAATACTCTAAATATTCAGAGAAGAGAAAGAAATCAGGGCTTATTTAAAATGATATGCAATAGTTCAAATAGCATCGGCAAGTAGCCTTCAGCTTTTCTCTAGCCTTAAAATGTAGGTAAATTCAGACAAATATGTTTCACTTTGTGTACGTAAAAGCCAATAGGACCACAGTGATGTGCTTACATATTTATTACCAAGGCTATCGCTAATAAGCCTCGTTTAATTTTGAGAACAAATAGTAATTAATGAAGTTATATTCAGATATTTTGAGCTGAAATGGTATATCCAAATTTTCATTTTCATTGCCTTTTCTTTAGAGTGCAGCGTGAATGTCTTCTCTTAAAGCAATATCCTGTTCTAGGCAGTCAATAAGAAAGATTTACTTAGTATTCAAGGTAACTGAAGCTATAAAATTTCTGCACGCCACAGACACTTCGATATTAATGAAAGATTAATTGTACCATTGCTTGTAATTCTGTTCTCAAATTTCATCTCCAACCTTCTTTAATACGAAGTAACAACATTTTTACAAGTTTTCATTGATCCAGAATGTATCGGACATCAGAAAGAATAATATATAGCCTAGAATGTGAAGTACATATATAAAAAACGCCACAGCCATTATATGGAGTAAGACAAGCTCCATCAACCGTCAGAAATGAAGAAAGGAGAAATCTGGATCAAAAACTAGGGAATAATGAGTCTGAAATGCTGACAATAAATTAGTTAAAAAATAAAGACATCCTTTTAATTATTAACAATTTCTCTCTAATTCAAGTCTCTGAGATGCATTAACATAAGCTTCCAAACCACATTTCCCACTCACTACCATTTTTTATTGCTAATACAATCTGTTATACATAAGTAACGTAATAAAAGTTTAAATTTGATTAAATACTCTAATGAATTAATTCGATTCCGAGCCAATAAATTGCGTTAACCAATCTCGCTAACTAGCTGATAATTACAAAACCTGTGAGAACTTCTGCGGGGTATCGTAATGGCTAATTTTATTGATCTATTTCATTGAATTAATGAAGATGGCTTCCTCGACTTGACCCACGCCTGCTGTTACACTTTGCTATTACGAATTTATTATTATATAATGGAACTCCAATATCTTCGTTTTTTCTAGTCACAGTAATTTGTTCTTCTTAAATATGGAGAGTTATATAATTAATTAATGCTATATTATAAGTAAAAATACGTATTTCTTCTACGGTTAGTGGTTTGTTTACTAAGTGATAGTTATTCTTCAGCACTATATTAGGCGATGCGGTTTAATTATATTATTTATGAATTACTTGGTCTTATTTATCGATAAACCTATTTATTAAATATTAATTGCTTGTGTGAATTTACAATTCTATCATTATTCAATGTTCAATCAGAACAGACGTCTTTCTAAATAATCAACATGTGCTAAAGCACGTTTTTATTTAGTTTGAAAGAGACATAAAAACACTCAAATATTGAAATGGGGCCAGCGAGATAGATATATGTGACATAATGAAGTGAATTCCGCTGTTGAATTCTCTGTGTCATGTAAAATGTTCAGTTAATGCAGAATTCCATTTTAAAAATGGCACTATTGTGCATTTGTAGTGCACTCCAACACTATGGCTACTCGTGGAGTGATAGAGGAACAATCCCAATACACGGGGTGGCTGGAGCGAGGGTGGGCGAGGGCGATGCGGACCAGCCGCGGAGATAAATCACGTACGGCCTGTGACGGACGTGAGAATATACTGGCTGGGGCGATCGCACCCAATAATGCACGTGTGACGTGGACACTGAGACTTTTTGTTGCATTGTGCAATATTCGCTATTAGTTTTTGTATCTGTTGTATATAGTCCGGCTTGAATGGGAATCATTGCAGGTCGCGCACAGGTCGTACCTTCAAAACATTGTTGGTGCACCTGATCACATTTAAGTTTTTTAGCTTTGACTTTAAGATTCAATACGAAATATTACACATAATATTTCAGCAATCCTTAAGTTATTCCGTGTTATATTCTGCACTCACCCGATACCTGTGAAACTATTTACAAGTTTTTCGTATACATTTATTTGTGTAACAATTCTAATCTTCCGTACCTGCAATGTGGCGTATAGTTGCTATTTGATAAAAAAAATATATATGCATTATCGTTTTAACTACGAGTATAATAATTGGTATGAATATGGCATGGCATCAAAGTCGGTCCTAAACAAACAGAGCTTGCGAGAGATGTTTGTATAGTACGAGGATGCCTTCATTCGGTAATTGTCACATGATCCTGGCATTGTATGATATATATGAAACGGATATCCCTTGCTTAAATAATAACAATTATTTGAAAATCATTAATTTTAATTAAGAACAATGCCACCAAAATATTCAATGAGTTATGTACAGCATTTGGCCAGGTTAAGAAGTGTTTTCTCTTAATTCCATGATAATTTTCTTCTGTCCATCTCAGCTTGTCTCTGTAGGTGTTAATCCTATTCCCCAAGTACCTCCATCTCCGTATAACCTTCGTGTAGTTCTCGTGGTCATTGTCTGAACTGGGTCGCTCTTGTTCTGAGGTGCCTTCACTCCACTCCGCTCTGAGGACGCTTCACTACTGAATCTTGTTAATTTTCTCTCAACTCTTTGATGAATTCCGTTGTTAGTATGAACGTTTATGAACCTCTTGTTTTTTTTATCGATTAGTTTATTTAGATGTCCGGGTTTTTCTTTTATTCATAAAGTGTTCTATAATGAGTGAGTTGAGTTTAAAAATTTCTTCAAGCTACACCCATACATATTAAATTGCACGTAAAAATATCTAATTAATATTATTATATATTATATAAATATATTTGATTGCGAAAGACACGTAAATTATATATGTTTCTGCGTTATTATTTAACATATGATCTAAATGTTTATAATATTTGTAGCAAATTTTTTATATTAGATTGTTTATACTTATAAAAAATCCTTGTAATGGGTTAAAGGCCTAAAATCTAATAGTCTATGCTAAAACCTTAATAAGTGTTTCCTGTAGGGTAGTTTGTCTGTGTATCATTGTTGATCATCAGAGCCTGGTTGGCAACACTCAAATACAATATTATGAATTGTAATAAGAATTCATTGACCCCAGAACCCACATCTGCTCTTTGACTATCAAATAACACTTGAGAGGTAAACGTACTGAAAATTTGAAATTATAAAACTTTAACTGTATATATTACCACATATTATAATAAATACAAAGATTCACTGAAGTATTCAACATTATGGAACAGCTGTAGTGTTCCTTCATTAAGACATTTAATAAGTATAACATATTTATAATAATATCATATAATTATTTTGGATATCTTGGCTTGACTTATTCATATTTTTTTTATATTTGAAATACATTATCTTTCTGCTTTTTTGATGTTATTGTTTTATCAAAGAATTCATGACACATGGCCCAGGTCTTTTAGACAAGAATAATGTCAATTCAGAAAGTCTGTTACTGTCCAAAATTATATTATATAATTTTATTATTTATAGGTAATTAGAGACACTTTATTTTTATACAAAATTAACAATATAAATCTATTTATTAAAGAACATTTAAACAGCGTTTTAGCACAGATTCAATCTTTAACAATACATTATTCATAGTCATTGTACATTTGGTCTGTCAATACATTTAAAGCGTCTTTTTATGTAAAGCTTTAGCCGGGGGCATATTTTTGAAAGAATCTCAAATAAGCCAAGTGCAATAGGTTCCATTGGTTATATAATGTATCTGGAAGCAGAGCGTTTATCTCAAAGCAGGTCAGGTATAGTCGGAGGCTGTGTGACCCAGATCTCTTTATAACCAGTCGGGACGGTGAAGAACTCAGGCTTTCAATGTATTTTAAACTTTATATATTCAGACGGTCTACGGAACGGTTTTGAACACTAATTTGGGTATAGACTATAGGTCATGTATTTTAATCTCCATTCATCAGTTACTTATTTAACAGTATTATGAACGTGGTTTCCTGATTTAAATATTCATTTGAATTGCATTATTTTTATATAGAGCGTTTTTTTAAGTTATACAAAACTTTAAAACAGAATTATTATAATATGTAATTTTACTCGCATTCCACTTGAACCTGTCTGAAAACAGGAAAAAAAGAAAATACAATTACTTAAAAATATAAAATATTAACAATTGTATCTAAATATATAAAATATCGTTGAAATTAAATTATATATTGTCATATAATTCGTATTTATATACTGTCGAGTGATCACGGGTAGTCGTGACGCGAACGTAAACATAACATTATTTTTATTTAAACGTGATCTCGTCGAAATCTACGGAATTGTTTTTTAATACCTTTAATGGTCCGCATTAAGCATTTAAATATATTTTTAACTAGCTTATACTTGGATAGCGAAACTTTGGCCTAAAAATATTTTATAAAACTAAGGTAAATCTTCCATCTAATATACATGAGCGATGCTCGGTCACTTATGTAGTATATATCTGTGGCGAGTGTTCTACATGCATGAGAGGATACAGCGGAGCAAAAGAAAGTCTATCAGCCTACATCTAAGGGAGAAGACTTCAAAGGACGGCTGCAGTGCAATGCGCTTCGATAGATTCTTTGATCACATTAGACGTAAGAACAACACTATATACTTATTAATTGTTATCAAATACTTTTAAGGAATAAGAAATCAACAAATTTTTTAGTCTCTAAGATTACTCTTCAAAGATAAAATGCTTTTCACATTCATTTTAAAACTATTCACAGTTTTCATTTAGTTCATTACATTCTTAGTTTATAACGATGGTCGTGTTCTGTATTAGATTAACATCTAAAAAAATGTGATTACTTTCTAAAAAGTAATAATTAATTAGGAATTTCTATATAAAACCGTAGAAATATGCTAGTTGTATGAAGTATTCAAGCGTTGCTGTCTTCAGCTGTTGGAGCGAGTATAGACCAGCCAGGGATTCAAAGACTAGGTCTTATAATGACGATCAAAGTCTTCACCCGAGCGCATACGATTTCACGTGCAGATGCATCCACAAAGGGACTCGTATAATTTATCTCATCGGACAATGATCATTTAATATATTACTCAGAGAATGTTTCCATTTCAGTCGAACAACTCTCAGGTACATCACGACCCCGACTCCCGAGCTCATTTAGAACGACAAATGACAGGTTCATGTACCACAGGATACCATTAACATCGCGTCATGATGACTAACACCAGTATCTCGATAACTTTCCCTTTATTTTTTCATTTAACTGTGATACAATTGTTTTTATTTTATTACTCAGAAATTTGCAGGCGATATGGAGAAGTCGTTGATGATATATCCAAACAAAAATGAGCTTTAACAGTGTTGATGTAGGTTGGTTTCGGATTGAAACTGATTGTAATCATGGGACTTTTCAAAATGTTACATGTATGAGGAAAATTCAGGTGCATGAATGAACCAGAGGACCTGTCCCACGGGAATGTAACATTAACTTACTATTGAACTTACATAAATTCGCTACAGTCAAAAGAAAGAGTACCTGTGAAACAAATGTATGAAAGTTTCTTAACTGAACAAATAACGATATTGTTTTAATCCGATTGTTCATTAAGGTCGTATAAAACAAGGCTGGAGCGCATCGGCGATGTCAGGTTATAAAACAAACGAGCTACAAGCCGCCGGTACAGACACTATTGCCCCTAATCGCTCCATTTAGTGGTGGCCGGAGTCGCTCGCCATATGTAAATGCACCGCATCCTTCTGAGAACGCTCCACCTCGCTCCCTAATTATTTTTAATTGCCGCGATCGCGTACGGCCTTCGAGGATGAAGTTCTTAGCATTTTTTTCGCGTCTAGTCACTGAATCGACGATTACTATAAATGAGTCATGTGTTCAAAGGCAGCATGCGCTAAAACAACTAGTGTTTTTTACCTGTCGTTCTTAGAACGCGAGGGTACTCGTAAATCAGGCCCGGCGCCCTGTTATTTGGTTTGGTTCATGAAGGGAGTCAGGCGCGGTAATTGCAGCATCGGCCTCACGCCGCGGGTTACTCTTGATTACTGTACAATCTGTACTATTATTTTTGGCGCCATATTAACGGTATCCTTTGCTCCCTCGCTTAAAACTTCTCATGTATTTTCCTGTTACTCGGCCAGTTAACTCTGAATGAGCGATACGAGAGGGAATATCGTGATGGTCAGAACGGATTCGCGTCCTCATTATTATGAAGGATCTTTTCAAGGTTTCCCATTCATAAATAATCGGTGTTACCTCAAAACTATGAGCTACTAGTTCTATAATATTCATGTGAGCTGATATTCTTTACTTCTTATTCTTTTTACAACCCCAATCTTTCCGGTTTTAAAACCATTCAGTAACAACGTCTAACTATAATTATTTATTATCGTATTATTTCCTTAAGCCTGTACGTATCATGACCTAGCGTCTGGCAAGGACCTTGTCCAAATTATACATCGTATTCTTTAATATTTCAAGTTGTTAATCTTGAGTGGCGTTTCGTTAATTCGTAATGCAGCCGCCAACAGCGCCCGAGGATATTGTTCACCGTCTTGGGGTCCAACTCCGGCGTCTTACAATACCTACTAGGTCACCGGATCAATTAGATCTCTGTTAATATGAAGATATATTTTAAATATATACAATAAATATATAATGTTTATTTTAGTCAATATGTCCTGCGATGGTGTCGCTAGCTTGAAGCTTTGTCCATTTTTTCTTTATTTTTTTCTGCCCCATTGTATAACGAGAATTCTCTTGCGGCCAATTTAACAATTGCTTTTAAATAGATTTAGGACAAGTGTAATGGATTATATGTAATAAAGTATTATAATGTTTCCTTATCTATAAAATATATTGATTACATTATAAATATGCATATTCATTTAAAATGCGTCGTAAGTATATATGTAAATATATTATAGAGGATTTAAATGGACGGATGCATCAAAAATATTAGTCGAAGGCTAAAAATGATAAAAAAAATATATAAAGCTACATATAAATTCTGAACTCCATTAAAAGGCGAAAAGATTTATCTGAGACCTCACCGATATACTTTATAATATTGTTTGCGCAAGCGCAAGTGCTGTCTTCAATATGAGTATCCTTAGCCAGCCATGTATCGCACGCTTTGATATACATTGCTCTTTCTATGGGTGAGCTTACATGTGTTTGGTATATTAAAACGGCAATGTATCGTATGTATTAGATGTATTTCGTTTGTTGTTTTCACTCACACACGTAGAGGTAAGTATTAGTCCACACACGAGTAGTCGCAGGTACCAAAAGTTAATTGCCTTTGTATGTAAGTGAAGTCTCTACCTGTGATGGTCGGTTTAAGTGAGGACAGCTATCGGATAGTTTTTTTTACATTACTCAGTGATTATTTTATTAACGCTCTCAATATTACATACTATTATTTATATATTCTCAATATATCAGTAAATGTAGATACACACAAAATTCACGTAAAATATGTTTATTTTCTTTTTAAATTTGTTCAAAAATTCTAAAACAATTCTTATTTAATTTATCCGAAATTTAAAGGTCGTTAAAATTTTTTACATGTCAGATATATTGAAATTATCTATAAAATACATGAATACCGATGAATTTAAGTTTTACGACAGAAATATTGACTTAGCATTTTAGCGCCACCTCATAAACTTAGCACATACGTCCCACAGACTATATAATTACATTCCTACAACAATAATTATAAGAGCTGAGCCGGTCGATCGCTGTTTAATTCTCAATAAGTATAGTAATATATATAATAATTACAACACATAAAGATCGCCTTCAAATCGTCGTATATATTTTTTTGGGTCAATACCGAGTACCTGCGTTATAGATCCGTAATTTTTAATTGACAAAAAAACGTATTGGACCGTTTTTAAAGAGGAATTCATTTTTATTAGTCATATAAGATATGAGTACGGCGGCGTGGGCTCCTTACAGAATGTTTGAAGCCACATTGTCATTCCAATATGGATCTTAAACCTCATTGTATTTTAAAAAATGCAAAATACGGTAATGTTTGTAAACTTTTCTATTATAAGCCTTTAGACCTCTTTTATTATTCCAGCTTCACATCGCACGGTTTACACAATGCCGTATCAACTTGTGTCTCTTGCTCGAAAGGCGTATATAGATTTTTTTTGAAGTACTGTCACAATAGCATCTGCGACTCTCATAATCGTTTTACAAAAATGCTACAGACGATTTTAGCATCAATCACTGCAGTATAAAGAATGTTTTTGTTTAAATGTAACTCAAAGGTAAACCATGGAGGTGTCGGCTGTACAATTTTGATCTCGATAGTACAGGTAGACGCGCCCGAACAATACCTGTTCGAAATTCAAACGCAAAAACGCGGTAATGAGCGCACTGTCAAGGGATAATGGCTTTCCATTGTCTATGCGGCCAGCATCGCTCCCGGAAAAAAAAATGTAGTTAGGGTGAATGTTTTTTTGGCAAATAGTTACTAGCAAAAAGTTTTGCTTTATTCGAATGAGAAAGTGATATATTTTGTTATTTATAAATCATATTGCATTTTTGTTTTACGATCGCCATTCTGTTTGATATATTTTTGTGAGACAATCGTTCGGAATGAACGGAAAGGCGCGGCTGGATATAAAAATTATTTAAATATGCTAATAAATAGGAAAAGATGAATGAATTTGTTTATAAACTAGTTTGATTGCAGACACATCACGGAGAAAGGTTTCGATGTAAGCATTTAAATATTGGTGAAAAATATATGTTTTTATGTTTTTATTACGGAACTTTGATAGTTTAAGACATGAGCTTATTTAATTTATTCAACGTGAACCTGACACATAAAACTGACGCCTGACATCCATAAATATATAATATATATTGAATTAAATATTGATTTATGAATCGTTTGTAATAAATACTATATACGTTTTTCTTTTAAATAAACTTGCTTACTTTTAGATGTATTTGTAGTAATTGCGATTTAAAAGTGTACTATACAATTTGTAGATGTATTTTTAAATAAATTGAAGAGCAAAAATCTAATGATACCCGTTTATTGATATAAATGAGAAAGGCCTAAATGTGTCTGCTTACATAAACTATATTGTACGAGTATGCTAATGTGACTCAATCATTCCACTTTTTAATCAAAACAACTTCTAATAAAGCACCGGAAGCGAACGGATTTGATCAATACACAACGTCTCGCGGTAAATAACCAATTATTGGATTTTTAATATTCGTATTTAAAAAATTAACTGTATTCTATATTTTCTGTTGACCGTTATTTTATTATTTATATAAATGTCACTTTGTATATTGATAATAATTAATCTGACGACCTTTTAACTTAGTATTTGATGAACGCGACAACGCCGCAGAACATTCTAGTATTAATATATCTCAAAACACGTCCTTATTATTCTTAACTTCTTAATACCAACTCGAGATGTAATTTAGTAACAAAAATAAAATGTCGCGCCGCGATCGTCTCAATAAACTACCAAGTAATACTTGTATGCTAATTTGTAAATTAGACGAAATTTTAACTAAAATTTCCATTGGTGGACATTTTGATCGCTATGCCCGCAATTGTAGGAATATTATCGTCATTTTATGCTAATTCGACCGTCTTCGGCCATTAGGTGAGCGAGCACAGATAAATTATGCGATGCGCGGGCGCAAATTTAGTATTATATCTAAGCTGTTGATTCTCATAACGGTTGTATGTTGATGTAGAAAGTATGTTATGTATCAATATCCGGAAACTTCTTTTATCCTTTTGTTGTTTTTTGTGTTTCCTTAACGACTCTTAATTCTCGATTGTTTTAGATATAATTAAGAATGCCAATTATTAAATTCCCGAATGATTTTCCGTTGATTGAACGTTATAAAATAGCATTCTCGATTTCGAATTTCTAAAACGGAGACTCATCTGTCAAAACTGTTTAATGTTTCTAAAAAGGTTTTATTTCAAGCCGGCCGGGCCGCGTCGTTATTGTTATTTATATTAAGACTGGCCGAATTGCTTCGACCCCGCACTTATTAAAAAAATAAAACTATAAGTTAAAGGCGGGAACATTCGCTTCTAAGCGCGACCCGGCGTAGGTCGACTTTGGATCGCTCCGGGTCTCTGGTAATTTTGTGTCCAAGTATTCGGAATGCTGGGATTGCGATGTTTAGGTACGTGTTTTTTGTGTGTGTGCGAGCGGGACGGACGTATCAATAAGGGTCGTTTGCGAAGTGCACTAATGGTGTTATATTATACTGTACTGGCTTGCGGGTTACCTTTTTGTATGATGTATTCATTAGATAACACGATTACTTCGTGAAGCTCGTATTGTCTCGAGAGGAGGTTTTTGTTTCACGTCAGAGTCGGCCGACTTTTTTTTTAACCATAGCTACATACAGGTCATGTATTTAAGCTACATACATCGTCATATACTCAGAACAACAATGATTCACTTACCTTCAAATTTCTACATTTAAAATGGAAATCCCGCGTCATAAATAATATAAACATTACGGTTTTTTTACAAACAAATTTGATCATTTTCTAAAAAAACTACTCTTATCCTTCCTTCTATATTAGTATCCACGATACAAGCCGAATATCAATTCCGAAGGTTTCAAAATAAAAACTAATTATAATGAATGTGAGCAATACAAAAACCGTATAAGATATAGCGGTTCTCGGAACAATAGTGATTTGCGCTGAACTAATCCAGAGATGTAGCGCAATGGGTCACATTGAGAGCCGGCGTCCTTGGACCTCCCGCCGCCGCCGGAGAACAGAGTAACTTAAGATTTATATATTATGAACAATACTGAGGGATGTTACATTGAAATAAATATAAGAAAATAAAGATTTACATAAATATACAAAGATCTTACAAAACATACGAACGTTTGAATCCTTTCATGTCTTTAACGTCGACGGCAGATAAAATTGGAGAGACATCCGACTCCAATATAATAAAATATTATTACATATAAATGATTACGTGTAGATTCCATAAATAGATATACTATATTGAGTTTCGTAAAAGGCTGGCTGTGACGAAAATAGTTACAGATGACGCGCCGATACACTGAATGATACGAGGACCGAGGCCGATGATAAATGGCAAGTATTAATATACTACTAGCGTACGGATACTGAACCAATATATATAGATATCCATTAATAAGTGATCGATACTATATATATTATATGTGTATCAATGTTATATATAAAGCGTATAATGTTTTAAAACCGCTTTAACCCCCTTCTGTCCGTCCGAGCCGCGTCCGATCCCGTAACCTTTGCAGTTAGCTGCACTGTGCCTGTGTTATTATTACTAATTTCGTTACAGACCACAGACTAACACTTCACAGAGACTCACCTACGTCAGTTACACGAATTTTAGTTAAAAATTTATAGTATAATAGTTATGTGTCTACACATTTTATTATTCAATTTATGATCAGTATTATCTGAATGAAGTTCCCTATTTTCCATCTACTCTCGTGTCGTGAGTTTACAGCCCATCAAGCCGTACAGTAACAGCCATCGAACTGTCATTTAATTTATAAAACAATATTGTTTTATGGTGTTTTTATGCGAATTTTTTATTCCCTCTACCGGTATAGTATCTATGTTACAATTTTAGAAGGTTGTAAACATTTAATGGGGTAAGTTTTACGACTGACGGCTTAGGTATAGGGCAAGTTGTGAGGTATTCGGATTTACGTTTAATGATCGGAGCCTTGCGCCTCGGCGGCTTAGATCGATGCTACCTCGAGCTCCATATAACTTACACATATACTTATATGGACTCTAGCTACTTCAAGGTTTAAGCTGGCCTGCTTATGGTGTTGAGAACGGTACTGGTAGGATAGATTATTTCTTTTTGGTAATGTTTGAGGGCTCTAAATCATATGTTAGCGAGGGTTCTGTTTAAAATCATATTCTGTATGAGCACCTGACGATGCAGCCGCGGACCTTGGGTCGGTATGATTTATGTTAAACACTCACCAATCACGGCTATAGTCGTGACGCAAAAGCACCTGTCTCTAACCACCTAAACTCATCAGCATACATAGCCTAAGTCTGAATCTTGACACTACTTACGAAGCGTCTCCCGTTTCTTATTCCATAACCTATACGTACGCTATAAAAATATAGAGAAACTGTTAACGTTACGTATACATTGTGATGACGCCAGTTTAGACTAAACGTAAGAATGGAAGGTGTCTTTTGAATAGATTAAAATATTAAATAAAGAATAAAGAATGTTGTACGAAAACCCTGTTATTACTGTACATAGAGAGTGGGTAAAAAACATCGGCTGAAGTATGAATCTAGAGACAACTCATGACCAACGGTCTAACATGAGAAATTCAACAATTTGTAAAAATAGATCGAATATAAATATTCATGTAGAGTGTCAAGTACAGCATCTTTTGCAATAATCTCGTTCAAAATTTATTATTTGAACACATCTTACATGAAATCCTTATCGAATAGATATCAAATAACCGTAATCATTTCTGCGAAGTATTAAATTGAAAATGAGAAAGTGGATTGGTAAGAGAAAAGCTTCGAATCCGAAGCGATCGAGTTAGTGGAGACAAAGCCTCCATCCGCTCCCTCCAGCGAGGCCGGAAGTGCAACTGGGTCACTCCGCATTCATTCACTCTTACCTGAATTTCAAAGGATTTTCTATATTTTCCAGCCTTTTAGTGTCGGAGATAATGGCGAGCCCACAGCTCTAAAGAACCTTATTTCGCTGACGGCCGATATTACATAAAACCATTGCTCAATATTTATGACACATTGTTTAAATTCAATTATCTTTATACAATTGCAATCTTACACAAAACCAAGGGCGTGAGATTAGAGAGAGTGGTGTTGAGAATGAAAGTAATTTCACCGATCATATGACGAGGATATACTGTCGCTGAGGAATCCTAGGATCAGAAACACGACCAGACCACTCAATATAATAAACACTGGGGTACCAGGGAGACGTGACTACAATTGAACAGGTCCACTGTTTAACAAAAACGACCTCATTAGTGGCTACATGATACATTATTGTATCGACGTTAAAACATAAATAACTGTTTTAAAAAACATAAATGCAAAAACAGTGAACAAATGTCGGCAAATATTTGAACGACTCATCGCACCTGCCTCGAGACCTTCGATATTACAGGCTTGTAATATACAAGCCATTAGAATATTGAAGGTATTCTTTATTTTATATTATGTAGAAGAACATTTCCATTTACTATTTTAAACAATATGATAAATTTCTCTATTTTTGCTAACTTACGATACGCGGCAATTTAGCTATAGCGTGTCGGGACAAGTATGTGGCCAAAGGGAATAAGGTCCTGGGGTGAGGGAGGAGGAGGAGGGGGTCGGAGACGAGGCCCGGGGGCTGGCAGGGGTGGGGGGAGGGCAGGGCGGCCTCGTGCCCTTCGCCGGGTCACCTTGCCCAGGTACATGCGCGTGCGTCTATTGTGCAATCTGACACTCGATATAAACCCATAATAACATCGCTAAATTACATACACCCTATGTCCAGGCATCAAGGACTATATTCCGTCAGCCCGCGCCGCCAGACCGATACTTTATTCTAACGAGTTTGATTTTTTCAAAACCAATTGCATTTTATAGTTGAGCGTGACAGGATAATTTAGGAAAGGAAGAGTTCAGACTTTTTGCCGTTCCCAAACTGTCTTGCTCATGCGATTTTATTCGTGTATGTAATTTTTTTGTCGGCTCGTATATTTTTTTGTTACGTTCGGTGTAATTATCGCGAGCGATTGATAGTCATAATATGGGCAATTGTTTATAATGTTAAACACTCCTTGCCCGTAGTTAATTGCGCCGGCCACGTTTTTGTCTGTCTGCTGGTCCAACAACCGTCGCCGGTCACTCTCGGTGTATCATTACCCACGGCTCCTTCCTCCTTCAACATCTCGCTGGTCGTACACCAAGTCTTCCTCGCAGCTCGACCAGCCGCCTCAGTTCTTTGTGTCTCACAACATGTTTTATTCTCGGCCGTCTAGTGTGGCGAATCGTTAGATTAGTTCGCGATGCGAGCTGTAATGCATTAAGATATAATGGCTGCCAATTAAAAAATATATATTTCAATTATAAAACAAAACGTAACAAATGAAATAAATAATAATCGAAGCAATAAAATGTTACATAAAAATTATTTCGAAAGCCGCGAATATCGGATCGCCGTTTGTGCTCAGGAATCCTTACAAGTATGTAAATTATATTTTGGACACTACGTTAACTGGGTCGATTATTATACAACACATGTTGTTTTAGTCAATAAATATTAAAACTAGATAATGTATATTCAATATGTCACAGTTACACATGTACTCTATATTACACAAACATTAATGATTCCTTCTGATGTGTACAGTCAACAAATTATAGTGAGTGTGATGACGTGTCAACTTAATATAATCTGACCGTCAGTACTTCTCGGTATTGTCATGCTCCGAAGATTCTGATTCATACTTAGCTTTGCAATTACGATTGTAATTCGCTATTCGGAAATAGTATGTATAATACATGAACACTCAAATAAAACAAAGTTAAATATACACATGTATAAATTTTTTTTGTTTGTTTACTATTTAAATTTGAGCACTGCGGTATCGTGTTAGTCATAAGCGCTCATCTCAAAAGTCTACCATATAATTTTAAAGTCATTCTAGATTTCAATACACAAATTACATATGATTTAAATACATAACTGTTAATTGAATGCAATCAATGTTTATAGATAAAGATTTAAATTATGTTCTTTAATTGGAATAGATCTCAGCAGATAGCACATGATGAGAGATGCATTACGTAAACATGTACATAACTTTAGTGTACCCCAGGCACAAAGCATGAAGGTCTATATCATGTGTGTTTGTGTCTTTTCAAATACCAATTAACCCGGGACACTTGTTCTGTTCCACAGGAGTCCTCGCCCACCTTGGCGCTTATATCGTCCAAGGTAAGTCACACTATGTTATCGAGCTGATGCATTATCATACCGCCAATAAGCATCGTCATGGACAGGCTCTGTTCTGTAATAGTTTATATGTGTTGTGTGTACATCATCATCACCGCTTACTTCTATTGACCTGACAAAAGTATAATGTGAAGCGCTTCTGCTGGCTTACAAAACATATTTAATCAATGTGTTGTGATGATAGCGATCTATTGAAACAATTCAATATAGTTCTTTATCAAATGTTCCATGTCAGAAGGCTGTAGGTACTTACAGACATTTCAAACAATAGTCCTAGTATCGTTCAACAAACGTCAGTATCCATTAATTAGTAATTATCTTCTTCCATCCCTTTAAAAGTCAGTCAGGACAAATTGTGTGCTAATGAGTTAGCTTTTTATCACCCGAGGTATTTGTTATAACAATCTCTGTCCGTGCGTTTTATTCTTCATAAAAATATTAGCTCTATCAGAGGCGGACCACACAGACACTTTATCCATATACAAGTGGTCGGTCTCCTTAATACATCGATGTTTTTGTTATTAGTCCGACATAAAACAGTGTGAGAGGAATATATAAATATAGTTTATTAATTAATGACGAGTATTTTATTGAAAACTTAATGATAATGTTGAATTAATTCTACTCATTTATAACTAATATAACTGTTGTTTTAGAAATCTGCCGTCATCAGAAAACAAACAAAACAATCTGTTGACCCGAGGGTCGATCTTCTGGTATAGATATAGATACACGTGGGGGAACTGTCTAATATTTTGTACAATTATTACTTATTAATAAATCTCCACAAGTCTCGTCTGGTGGACACATTAGCCTTTGTTGGTACGTGTTCATATATGAAGCAGGCTGTCATCGGCGGATGATTGTCTTAATTTATTTTAATTAAAACTGGTCGGTAAGCTGCAGGCCGCAGCTCGGAGCGCGCTCGTGGGTGGTGTCTTATGACTTTTTTCCTCGTGATATATTACACGGAGACTTAATTAGACGGAAAATAATTAATGAAATTACTCTATGAGTAACAGTACGGCCCGAAACCTGATCCCCGCGTTTACTGGAAATATATTTGGGTAATAGAATTAATGGTCAAAGACCTTGTGACCAGTCGCCGGCGTGGAATTGGAAATTTGTAAATGGTAACAATTCAACTTCAATAAATAATATATTTAGACGACTACTTTAGGAGCTCTCTACATTCAATGTTAGCTTGTGACAAATTGAGTTACTTCTATTAATATATCTCCGTATAGGTATATAATTTTTAACTTTTTCTCTGTTATTTATGTTTTAGCTTAAAACTTACAATCCTGAGTATTACAGAGGAACACAGTAATGTTATCTTTTAAAATTAAATTTAAACAAAAATAAGTCCTAAATGAACATATTTGAGTGTTGTTACGTTCAAGATGTTCGTCGTCACTCCAAACGGACAGTCAGTCGGTATAAGCACACTAGTAAGGTTGGTGAACGCCGTCCGGCGTCCGGTTACAATGGCCGGGTCGCTTTACATTACCGGTTCACTCGGTATTTAGTTATTTGTAATATTTATAGACGATTAACTCACAAAAAATACAATGAACAAAGAAATATAAATAAAATTATGACGAAAAAAAAACAAACTCGATTATTAAAGATTCGTTTAGAGATAATTCAATTTTAATCGTTAACTTCCCAATGGCTTTATGCTTACATTTTTTGCACTCTGTACTTTTTGCAACGAATTTATTATTTTTTTTGTCAATTATATTCGTACTCATAGTATCGTTGTTTTGAAGCAACATCTCTTATTATAAATCTAATCTCACGTGTTATTATACACATTAATATAAGCCAAACTGTACATTTAACTCGGACCTTTGACCTTTACATAAAAATATGTTATTTATTGGCGATGTCCCGTTAGTTCGCCGCGGAATGTTTTCCATCTACATTCCTAGTATTGCGTCCAAATATTATTACTTTTTATATATAATAACTCTTTATTTTTCTGCTTTAAAACGCACGTCCTCTCATTCGAGTACTTTATGAAATGCATCTAATTCAATACATATAATTTTCTCATTTGAAGTAAGGATCTATTCTGGTCGTGGACCGTCTTTGTGTACGTGAATAATCTCCATGTCTGATTTATAGGAGCTCAGGAAACAGAATGAGATGTTATAATGAAAATAAGTCTGTGTATATAAAGGTAATGTTTGTGAGACGAGTCTCATGCAGACACATACCGCGTACACTACTTATTGATAGAACTGTATCAATAATATAGTCCTAAGTTATAATACTGTATATTAATGCAACTTACGTATTAAATACATAAAGTTTCGGTATCAGATTAATCAAATAAAATTATTCAAAGCTGTCGAATTTTGTTATAATACATGATAAATAAAATATCGATTATTTAAAAGTGTGCCGCTCTGGATTATTTTAACTCTGTAGTCGTACAAAACTGACTAAGTACGAAGTGTCTCTGTCACCAGAAATAGCCAGTGCACTAAGTCCGTAGTGCTGCGGGGGGGTGGAGGGGGGTAAGAGGATGAGGAGGAGGGGGGAGGGGGGAGTCATTACAAGCTTCCGCCGCCAGCACGTGGCGCTTGCGGTTTTTTTTTCCTACGGAGCGGAGTTAGGAGATTTAAAGACAATTATAAGAGTAAAGTGCTCTTTGATTTTTCTATCTTTTGAACGAGTCGGATGTTCATTTATCATATTATAACTGCTCGAGTTGAGGAATCATTTCAAAATAGATCTGAGATATCCTCTTTATTGAGACTTGAATTTATAGTTAAGACTTTAAGAGATTTTGTACTGATTCAGACTAAACAACTCCAATGTAAATAGCGTCAGCCATTTTAGCTCGAGAGACCTAAAAATATAATGCCAACACTGCGTTAAACATGTATCATATCTGAACAATCAACATCTCTGACTGATTGTAATCACTCACTTAATTGTCGGCCAATCATTTGGCAAAACGTGTATAGATGAAAAACTGGACATTGCCAAAATAGTTCCGTTAAAGTGACGTACTGTATTGTAGATTAATATTCCGTTATTTTTCTATCAATAAAGTACAGTGACCATAGTCCATAATGTTTATAAGTAGAGGCGGAGTTATTTGACTGTGTGGCAATACACAGAAATAATACACTGACTGTGGCCTGTGGGCGGCATGCACTCCGGAACACGGAGCATTGAAATATGGATGAGGCATTTGGAGCTGGAAGGTTTAACGGGCTATCATCTAATGTAGACACTAACATACACACGAGCTTGAACAAATATTGAATATTACCCAACACATCTTTTACTCAATATATATATTAATGATTTTTGCTTCAAATATTAACCTACTTCTCATAAATATAATTCTAGTGTCTACTATATCTAACCTTCGTCACATTATTCGTTCAGTACGCCAGCACGATTACCACATCCATCCAATAGTCACCTGCTAGGTAGATCTTTGTATATTTTATATGTCCCCGTAGTGTATCTCGCTTCTAATATTATTCACGGGCCGTTCAACGATATATTTACAGTTTTTAAGTTGTTTTCCTCTCCAGCGTCACGTTCCCACTTACCGCTATCAAATGATATTTTTAGTTCACGAATGTGATGGTTTGTTTTCTATATTTAATGTATAACATATATATTTTCGATACACATATAGTTCTAACGGCATTCCTGACATATTACTAACTATAATCGTCTACATGTTAGACAGAATATTGTCGCTATTTTGTTGTTATGCACTTAAAAGTATTACATATATTATTTTTAACAATATATATTATTAATATTTTCTTGCATTTTTCTCACACAGTCTGTGTGTCTGTATGTATGTTTGTCTGTTTGTTTGTTATAATCTAATATTGAACATTTTCCTGTCGTTAATCTACCCTCGCCCGCCTGACTCACGTCCACGTCTTACTGTTCTTATGAACGTGTCTTGTGAATGTTATTCTTTACTCTCACCGTTATAATTAATTATTTATCATTTCAAGAATTACAAGTTTTATTAATTACGAATCTTTCTATATTTGTTATTTATTGATAGTTAAAAGAATTTAGTTAGTACCTTTTACGAGAAAAACACAATATCTAAATGTCAATGAACATAGAACAGACATATAATTCAATATTATAATGCCACAAGTGTTTTTATAAATATAAAATACCGTCGAAAGACGGTTTGCAAACAATAGGTAACTGGTGGGACAGGTACATTTTAACTGCAATATAAAATCTCATATACATATTTTACTAAACATTTCATATAAAACTTGGTTAAATTTTGGTCATATGTAGTTAAATATTTATAATATACACTAAATGTCATATAATTTTCTCAATTAGTTTCGAAATTAAAAGTCGATTACCAAAATATTATTTTTTTATTTCAAAATTATTAAAACTAAAATCAATTACTTTTCGTTAAATTTTACGCTTCATTTCCATTCTGAAGAAGTTATTATAAATATATTGTTAAGGTCTAAAAGAAAATACTATTTCACTAGTTTTAATACATGCTAATATGAAGTATCATTATCGAGATCTACAAGGAAAATATTATTTCACTAGTTCTTATTGATGCTTATATTAGTTGTCAATCAATCTTATCTATTATATAGGTCACAGTATCCCGGCTCCTACGTTGCATATTCTGTGTTCTGATGAGCCATATTCCTCATATTCTCCTTGATGTAGACCACCAGCGTGAGTGGTACCACCGATATAAACTTTACAAACATTCAACTACAGCGTGTGTCTGAACACCAAGCCTGTCGAGTAACGATACAACTTCACAAATAATGGGACTAGTTACGGACGTCTCTTGATAAGTAATTAATATTTATGTACACTTTAATTTAAACTATTTGTATGAAATGAAATATATTACAAATATTTCCACCTATCAATGATATTAAAGTTACAAGGAGCGCCGTCTTCTAGCCACGTGGATGTTTTTCAGTTGTTTACGTTTCAATACAGTGATGTCATTAAACGGTTACTCAATCCACTATTTTTATTCTCCGTGCTCCGTCGTGTAGCGTGGATTTATTTCGTAATACGTTCCTATAACACAACCCTGGTGACATTATTATAAAGGTACATCTATTTAAATGATACTAATATTTTTCGGATATACTACGCGATTTCGACATTTACGACATCTCACATCTCGACTACCCGTGATCATAGTTGCTGAAAAGTAGCTGAAACATCGGTAGTATGTAGATTTTTACATAAATAAAGCACGCGTAGTTTTTCCGAAAAATATTAGTTTCATTTAAATGAATAAAACTCGCGAAAGTCTTAGATGTCATTAAGGTACATCTATTTAAAGTGACTGCTGAAAATGCCACAACAATATCTCGACGCCATCGCTTGTATCTTCGTGATTATTTTTCAACAAATCATCGGATTTCTTTGTAATCTAATCGTGTTCCTAGTAAGTGTTATATATTTAATTCCCGTATCAGTGTATCGTAAACACTAATTCTAATCAATACCCTCGTCGGGTGGAGATGTCGGCGCCTCGCGTGCCCTTCTCATTGTACAAGTTTGTTTCACTCCCGTGCTGCCTTCACTGACACCAGTTACTCGCTCCAGTAGCGTTATTTTTTAAAGTGGAACTGAAAAAAACGTTGACTAAGGTATTTATTATATGAAAGACGTTCATTTCATATGAAGGTGCATTTTAAAAATGTATTACTGTTGAATTAAATCAAGATTACTTCTACTGAATATAATTTTCACATAAATATTCTACATTGAGCGTGTCAAGTAACTGTTTGTTCATTCAAGTGGTGTCTGTCAGTGGTAGGTGTGAACGCTCCACGGTCCGTGCGTGTCGGCCACACTTACACCTGACTTGTAAGTGTGCGGACTGCGTGAAATAGATGTCTCGTCGCACCTCTGACTCACACCGACACCCTCCGACACCCCCGGCACCCTACACCCTCATACACCCTCACCCATCCTCCCCCCGACCTCACCCGCCCCTTGATTTATTTTCCACTATTTGTAAGTTTCACGCAGCTTTCGACTTTTATATTCGTCATTATAATGTTCTAGCTGTAATTAGTTATCGCTCGATTCAACTTTTGTCTTTGAAACGTTTCTTTAAGGTTAAATTTGAATAAATTCATACATTACTATTAATTTTATTATAATTCTGAAACGGTGATCACTTTATCGTGTGTATGGGACGCCCTTCAGTGAACAACACATGGAGAACTAGTCAGTATTTAACATGTACAAATGTCTCCTAGATGTTTCCCCGCCTACCGTTCGGTTGAAGACTAGTGCTTGATATCTGATAGCTTACAAGGACTTTAGATGAGACCACTTTACTCGGAAAGTCCGCGAGAAACACAGAACTAACATACATATGAAGCCATTCGGGTTTTTCAACAGCATTCTCTGAATTCACAAGTGACAACAGTATACATCCCGACACATAATGTTATCGGTCGTATCTCTAACAATAAACGTCTTGTAACTCAGCCAATAAATTCGTACCTTTAATAGTCAGCTGAAGCGTTGTTCTGAACTCATTTAGTGTTCCACGCGAACCATAAACGACACGAATGAATTACAACGACGCCATCGAAAACTTTGTTAAGTATTTCAAAGGGGACTTCTTTGATGGAGGGGTAATGTATCATGATGAACTGAGGTTAGCTCGTGTCTAATACATAGCTCTATTAAAATTCACGCGAACACAATGACAATGATGTAAATGTTATTTTCTTTACCTGAAATTGATTTAGTAGAAGTGTTATAGTTTTAGTGTATAAAATAGTATTATATATTTCGTCATCAGTTTATCAGAACCCACTGATGAGCAAAGGCCTCTTTCTCACATGGAGAAGGTTTCAGCATTAATCACCACGCTTGCTCAAGACGGGTTGATGATTTCAAACTTATAATTGTGACATTATAAGTCCAGGTTTCCTCACGATGTTTTCCTTTACCGTCTGTCAGTGATATCTAAATACTCTTACAAAGTACATATGACTCAGAAAAATCACACTGGTACTTGCCAGGGCCAGGATCGAACCCGCACCCTCGTGCATTATACATATACATATATTGTGTGTCATTCACAGTGTTACCCGAACATTCCGTCACATGAATCATTATTATAGTACTTCTATTGACTATTATAATTTTAAGATCTATTTTAATCGTCTTTTCAGTATGTTTTATATATCTTTATTATCATTGTTTTTTATATAAGCGCAGACTTAAACGCTTTTCTTTGACTCTCTGAAGGCTAGGTGATAAAGATTTTGTGCATAATATTAATATACATGTACAACAAAGAAGTAAATAGATTATTTGTTTAAAACTTCTTGTGCCCTTTGAAGTCTTTATATCAACTTTAAATAATATATAAAAGATGAATTTTTTTTTTAAATAAATTTCGATTTTATAGTTTTGTTTTATATTAAGTTTGTTGGTAACAGCTGAAATATATTTATAATCAAAGTGAAAATATTTAATTTTTACAAAGTTTTGTAGACAGTGGTCCATGGCTTAAACAATATTTATATAAGATTCATTTCTAACTAAGTTAAATTATGTAAATATTTAGAATATTTATAAATGAAAAGATATACTATTTGATTAACTAATTCTAGTTTTTGTGCAGAAATCAATTTATTGAAAACCTACCTTTACTTAAAGACAGTTTTAATAAATAAAAGCTATTTTTATCATATCATTAACGTGTTAGTTTTCTATAATATTTAATTGAACGTCTTTAAGATGGAAGTGTCTGAGTCCGAGTGTGACTCGTAGTTGTACTCCTCGTTATATAAATATCACCCTTTCCTGCTGAAGTGAACTGACTGCCGCCGAATGGAGACACGGAAATATCTCTTTTCCGAAACGCACTACATTTTAAATAAGAGGGGCCGATGAACTCTCATTAAAGGTTTGAGGAAATCTTATTAATTTCAATGTCCATCGCCGGTTTAGTTCCTTAAACGGGTTCAGCTCCTCAACTAATGCAGTAATGAATTCTATGTCGATCGCGGTATAATTGCCTAGTGTTGGGAAACGTTTTAATTTTAATTAACAGCTCTTTTAAACTAATACCTATTAATAATAAATAATTAATAATCTGAGAGTCGTTAATTAAAATATAAAAAAAAGGTTTTCATTTGATATTCACTTTAGAATTTTTTTAAGTCCTTATTAACTAAACGAAATTACTCTAAAAAGTACTAACAAACATTTTCCCAGAAGCAAATACAAAATTAGAGACTTAACATAATATAACATAGACTGATATTTATCTATTAAAAAACAATTTACAATTTATAATTAGCATAACAAAAGCTATCGATAGAACTGAATCATCGACTATCGATACATAATATTATTTAGCGTCCCATCCCTCCAAGTGTCACATTACACACCAGTCGCGCCTTATTTTTATTCTGTCAAATAGCAACTGAAATAAAACCGGCCATAATAAAAATACCATCAGTACTGTTATTGAAGGAAGACGGGAATAGAGTGGTCCGCTCACACCGCCACTCACGACACGTTCACTGATACTAATACATACAGGTGATTAATATATACATATATAATATACAAGAGACTATTAAGATACAATTGTATATTGAACTCGGTACTTGAAGGGTTTGAGAGTATTTATTATGAAATACACCGGCAATATAACTATTAAACACGTCAAATCTTTTAACATACAAGCAATATTTCCAATATATATACCTATATCATTTTCCATTTTACAATTTCTATCATCTCTCAAGATACGCGACTTTCCTCATACTTCCTCTGCCCCATCCGCCAACAGAATCCTTTCGCCTCCTGAGACATGTTTTGATCTTATTTACTTATAAGAACATATTACTCAATTGATAACTTATTCAGTACATACGAACTATCGATATGATAGTGAAATACGTAAGAAGAATTCATTCTCTTTTAAAGTACTAACAAAATCATAATTTAGCTGAAATGAATGGAACTCCAATTTGATTCTTATATGTATATTGGTGATTTTAAATTATATTATGTATTACCTAATATATGTTGGTACTTAAACTATTGAGTAATACTTTCAATACTACAGGTCTCTCTTATCTTCATGTAGCACCAAGAAATTATGCTATTTCAGCAAAGCTGTACAGACTGTGAAAGTCTTTATTTTATATGAACATCTTACCTAAACACTTCAAATATTTGTTTTTATTTGTATTCATATAAAATTTTAATATTACTAACAAGATGATAGTAAAGTTTATGATCCTTACGCAAATTAAACGAACGAAAAATATTAAGCTTCTACAAATCTTTTAAAATACGAAAACTGTATAACATATTTGCCGTCTTTGAATTTTTTCGACAACGAAAGAAACAACGGAAGGTACACACATACCTATATATATGGTTCAGACTATTATCGTTTTAATTTCAACAAATTCCTGAAGGCTTTAATTAACAACAATTTTCTTTAAAGCCAGCAAATAATTTCATTTCATGATCAACATCATCAGTACACAATATAAGACTTGATCAAGTTACAGTCATCATATTATTCTATGCGCAACCAGGTTTATGGTTCTATGTTACCAGGTCTCGGGACGCTGTAACTCATGGACCTGACCTGTAGGAGTGGTGGAAGGGTTATCATTATTATTTTGATTGTAGGAGAAACATTTTAATAATTTAAAGTATATAGTTAAGAACAATATAATACATTTGTATATTACCTACCTATATAACGTTTCATAACATAAAAATACTAATTTTACCTCCTCACCAAACTTAAGAATATATTTGTTTAGATTCAAATATCTTTCGTACTAGCTTTCATATACTACCTTTTATAGACTACCTTTTCAAAGACTAACTTCCGTAAATGTTTGAATTAAGTTCAAGAACTTAATAGAATAATAGAACATAGACAACATAATAGAACATAGACAACATAACCAGACCAGAGTAAAGCCTTCTTAATATTGATAAATTCACAACAGTTGAAACACAAAAATGCCTTTAAATGGATTCCTTGGATGTCTATTATAACTTGTGATGAAGTTCACTGTTCAGGAATTTAGAAGTTTGAAGAAAACACGATACAAACGAAAGGAAACGAAATGATGAAAGGGAAAATCCACCTAATTTATAAGAGGACCGGTTAAATAGCGTTTAATATTCAAAATATTTTATAGATTAAACCAAAAAGACAAAGGAATAGAATAATTCACTTCGAAGATTGCACGAGTCAGGTACATCCTCATATATTCCCACTCGGCAACTTTGCATCTAAACGTAGTATTCAGTCATTTTTGTAAACTATATAATGTCGGTTAAATCTCGTAAGCCGCTACTGAAAAAAAAAATCATTTATCACCTCTCTATTTATTTAAATACTTGCTGAAAATAAACAAACTTCATAAACAAAGCGAATTGTACTTTATCGTGTTACATTAAGGTTCATTTTTATACCGTCCTATGTTACTGAGGAGCGACATCAGAGACATATCAAATGTAAGTGTTACTTATACCGTAGTTAGCTGTTAACCAAATATGTCGCCGGGTGAACGACCAGTCTATTTCAGTTCTTAATTATATGTAGAAATGGGAATGTCTGTTGAACTTGTTGCTTCGGCAATCTTTACTTATATGAGATCTACGAGCATTAACATCGGATGCACGGATTATATACCGAGAGGGAGCATTCCGATAAGATTTTTTTTTATCTTAAATTCACAAAATCATTATGTGTTTAAGTTTGAAAAAACCTGAAAAGTTAGGTAAAGTGAGAACGAGGATGAGTTGAAATGAAGATGCTATTTCGTGCACATTTTAATACCAACATACAAAAAAAAAACAGAAGTTTACTTAGTAGATTTACACAAATTAAAAGTAAATAATGAGATCTAAGACTTTCGCGAGTTTTATTCATTTAAATGAAACTAATGTTTTCGGATTATACTACGCGACTTTATTTTTGTGAAAAACTACATACTCCCGATGTTTCGGCTACTTTTCAGCAACCGTGATCACGAGCAGACGAAATAGTAAATAAAATTATGTCTATACTAAATAATATACCTACTTAAACTAAACATAAGATCTGAAAAAATAAGCAATATTGAGTCATAAATTACTACTACAACTGAAAATTACAATATTGGACAGCAGTGACTTTAATATTGCAATGCATCTAATATACTATGTACATATATTTTACATTAATGTTCCTCGATCTATTTCGTTTCACATATAATATTGTCATATATTTTTAGGTGCGTGATTTAATAGCCCACAAACAATACGACACAATATGTAACAATTCCTCAACATGTGTTTATATCAAAGCTTGTATCATTGACATTATAAAAGCGTGTTTATATCTACTATATGTTATATTGTGTAACTCGCCGCGTATTTGTGACGCTAAAATCTGTTATAAAGTATCAGTCTATTTATTTTAAGAACAATAAAATTAGTTCCCCGATTCACAAACTTCGCGCATTTCACTGAATTTATGACGTCTTGATAGTGTTACTAGCACATTTACTGGACTTGGAGGACGAGCCGACATTTTTGTATAAGCACCGAGGTCGTAATTCATTCATAATCACTGAATATTTTACAGAAAATTTTCATATAAATATTCTTAATTACATCGTGGCTTATTTATAATGTTTACCATTTTGTTTAAAGTCCTAGCAAACTGTAGTTTTATTTATCCTCCAACTTGTGCTGCCATCTATCTATATGTGACTTAACTATACTAGCGCCATCTCTTTAGTAATCACGGAATTAGCGAATCTGAGACATGATACGGCTCTCAGAGACTTGACAGTTTGTAAACTTTTCTACAGATGGCGATAGTGATGTTTTCAACAATTTATTTCATAAATAGGTAGGTAGGTATAATTTTATAAAAACACAGTCTTCATACCTTAATATTAATATTGTACAAGATCAAGCTATTTTTCGCCCTTTTCGACTTTATCATGAAACTTTGTTAGCATATTTTGTATGACAATTGCACTTGTAAAGAAAAATTAAAAAAACCACACACAACTTTCCGAACATTCCCTTATAGACTTGATAATAAAGACGTTTTTGGAAATGTTTGTCATAAAATCTATAGGTACATACATATTTCAATACTTTTCGATTAGAAAAATCATAGTACATGTACTTGGCAAATAAGAATTTGACAGGTCAATGTCGGTAAAGACGGAACCACTGATTCCTGAATTATTTTTATCGAGTAGTTAGAATCAAAATAGATCTTATTATAATGTACTAAGACACACATTAGCATGCAAACACTAAATCTATTAGAGTGTACCACGTGGCTCGATATTAATGAATTTATGCGTTTATCAATAACGTTTGTTATACATTGAAGAATATTAGTTAATAATAGATCCACTCCTAGAGACGCTTTAGAGTCACACATGACATGGAGTAGTGACAACGGGATATTAACACAAATCTATCAAGTATAGTATTGTATGTAATGAATTGGTATGAGTCGGTCGAGCCAACGTCGTACGGCCAGTGTCCCGCCTCTCGCTGCCGCCAGCGACTCCGAGATGTGATCTGAAGTACGCGGAGTCTGTATTTTTAGCTCGCGACGGCTGCTCGCGCTCGACGCACGCGAATAATATAAAATGTGTAAGGAACGCTCATAGTGTTGGTGGAGTGAACCGTGAGATGTGTGCATTATGACGAAGGCTATGGAACACTTCAGGAGGCAGCGGCTGAGGCTCGGCAGGAGGAGGGTATAATGACTTCCTTTACATTATAGTGTTACCTTACGATCATCGCGAACATCACTACTGACGAATGTGACGAGCTCTGGACGTTACGAACTTATTGGACGGTAGAAATATGTTAGACGAGACTGTGGCAGATAGATCTATTCTCAAAATATTGTGAAGATGTTTGTTTTGACGTATACAATGAGCGATGATGTCTCGCGATGGTCAAGTTTATAGTCGACGCGGAGTTGAGCTTCATGAATGAGGAGTGACTCAGTCCGCGGACGAGCACAGGTGACTGGGACACGCGGACACACACAAATATTAGGCGACCTTTGATAATATATATTAAATAATATTGTTGATAAATAATAACACTAGGATCTTTATAATAGTTTCTGTCATAATTATATCTATTTATACATATATTAATAATACTGTTCGTGTAGAAAAATGTTTGTCGATCGATCCAAATATTCTGTTCATAATTGTTTTCGGTGTGTCATCTACATTCCTTTCGAGTTTGCGTTTTTCATGGAAACAGATGGACGGCATCAGTTTCATATCAATACATATTAATACAAAAAGTGATGACTTTATCATATGAGTTATGGTGAAGAGGTCCCAGTTCATCATCACACCTGTACTAATGATTGTCATTCATCAACCTGTCTGTAAGTCTTCTTCATTCATAGTCCTACCCTCACCGTCCGTATATTTCTCCGCCACCTCATCTTCCTCGTCCAGTCTGTGTGACCTGTTCCGTGGTGGTGTCTGTTCTCCGCCGAGGGTCATCTTGTGTCGGCTCTACGTCACATGTAGGTCAACGACGTCTCCGGCGCGGCGGATTTCATCGATCTATGGTCCGCGCATGCGTCACGGCTCCATTCAACAGTCGACCCTAACCCCCATCTAATAGACCTCAAATTACCTCACCGGGAATTTAATTTTCCGTATACTGCAATTTGATTTGCAATGAAATGTAGTTTAGGTTTTGTGTCTTATGGCATTGACCATACGGCTCTTATTCGACTGTACTCCAACTAATTGGTATACAAAAGCTCGTAATTCGTTTGAATCTTATCACGTGGTAGTAAAGTCTATATTGTTATTAATTGTATTTTCGTTTGAAGGCGGTTAGTTCGGACGCGGCTGACATTTATTTCCGGATCCCTTAGGCCCAAGGAACTAATGAAGAGTATCATTATTTGAACACTTCATAGTTTATAGAGGAGCAAAATTTTTTACAACTATCAAACTCATAAACAATACATTTGTATGTATAACGAATTGCACAACTGTACTGTTATTAAATATGAAGGGTGAAGGTATACAAGGCAGTAGACAGAAGTAGGATATCCTTCACCGATCACAGATTGACTATTTCCCTTTGAACGATGTCAGGGATATTAACATCAGATACAATATTCACATAAGACATGCTACAAGAAGAATTATAACGAAGTTTATATACTGATAGACTTGGAGTCAACCAGAAGATTTGATGTTCATTTCACTGATAGTAAACTGTAAATATAAAATAATTATAAGGCAAACAGAAGTAATAGGAAAGTAAAATAGTTTAACGATATTACATCAAACATAATTCTTCTGTTATGAATTAAAGTCGATAGGTAGATGATGATTGTAGTGTATCATAAAACCAATAGTAACATAGTCGATAGTATAGTAGCACGCGTCGTGTTACAAGGGTCCCGGGTCATGTAATTAGTCAACAGTCGGACGCGGGACGACGCCTGGCGTCCTGGTTGTGTGCGGTTGTGTGTGTTGCGCGCGCACCTCATTCAAGGTTCGGGTCCGGCGGGGCGGGGGCGCGCGGGGGCCGCGGGGCGGGGAGCCGCAGCGGTCAGAGCCGAGCGCGGCTCGCGAGCGGTCGGGTGTGTGCGTGAGTGAGTGACCCCCCCGGCGTGGCCGATGCGTGGCCACCACGGCAGACCACGACGGAATACCGCTGGTGGTCCAGAGCGGCCACCACCTCCCGCTGCCGCCATGCCGTAACATGATGGGGTACAACAGCCACGAGCAGGGACACGGCCACGGGTACAACAAACTGTTCACGCAGGTGCGCAGCCATGGCGATACGGTTGGTTTGGTGACGACTGACGAGCGAGTGTGTTGTGATGGGGACTTGATTGGATGTAAACCTTTGAACGAAGACTTACATCGGTACAGTGTATGAGGGTTTGCAGTATGGTCTCCATTATGATCGATCAGACTCAAATCTTAACGCTCAGAGTTCACGTTACACTATTCTGTTAGGTATATCCTCGTATGGAATTTTCACGGATGTTTTTCTCTCTGTTCTATTTTCGTTATTTTTGACGCTAATTCCAGTTTAAATACGTCCAATTACGGTTCAAATGTTCCATGAAGTATTTCAGTTCACAGTAAATAATCACAACAAAGATGTCAATACTTGTAGCTTGCGTTCGATGGAACAATATTCGACCTGTTACCTTTTGTTAGTGTTACTCCCTAATAATGATTACGTCAAAATAATATTAAATTCCTATGTATTTTTTTGAATGCTGTTACTAAGTAACTTTTAACTCAATTATGTTAAACGTTTGATCAGTTTGTAAGTCGTTTCATTCCTGCGGGGCGTCAGGCGTCTGTATCGTGTCCGTCGACAGCTCAGTTAATAAAACACAATGTTTAGATAACAGTGAAAAGCGATTACCTTTATTACACTTCGACGTGTTATTGTTACAACATAACTTAGGGAGATAATATACCAAAAAATGATCTGACATTGTAACTTACATATTTAGTTTAAAAAACAGATTAAAATTCTTTGATAAGCATGCAGTATGCTTCCCCATTTGCAATTTTCTCACGAAATTTTTAATTTCATCTTGTAGATGTAATCTATAGTTATTGTATCTAAATCTGATGTATTATATATAAAAATAGTGTATTTTATATACTTTAATATTTACATATATATCTGATATAAATTATAACATTTACTGACACAATATATTCACAAAAGCGTGTAATCATTGCGTTGTGTAGTCATAGTTTTCAATCTAGTTTGATATGAATCCTAATAATAAATGTTTGAAGTAGAGTGCTCCGGGTGCATCAAATGAATTCGATACTGACGTACATCTATAAATTGATCTACATTGTATATTGCTTGCAATAGAAATATTGAATGGTTCGTGCGTGGAAAATGGGAATACATAAGTTTATCAATAGTGAATTGTTTTATTAGGCCTTTGTGGCATAATTATGAACAAAACGACTGTTTGTTCGATTATAATATTTAATTTATTTGACTATTATATGTAGTACAGTACATCAATAATCTCGTACGGAGATGCACAACGTCCAGTCTGTTCGAGGAGCATGTATGACGTCACCGTTTCGATCCACACTCTCAAACACAGCCTTATTTATATCCGCCCCGATTCTTACATTTAATGTTTTTTTCTTAGCTTCTGAATGTACTATTTTGTTAACCGCAGCTGAGCACGTTAATTTGTTAACAGTGGATGAATACTTGCTTATAACTTTAAGACGAGTTAAATACGATGTAGTTTTTAAAACACTCTAACCTGTAATGCATTTTAAACTTCAAAAGCACGCTTACTTTTATAATACACATCACACCAGCCTTGTGACTCCTAGTATATGTTTATACATGCATGTGTCTATATATACCTATATATGTTAATGCTGCATGTCTGTATGTACTCGTCGTATATTTATTTCATTATGTTTTCAGATGTTTTAGTACATATCGAGCATGTTTGTCTGATTTGTTGTTTGTGTGTGTTGTCCGTTGCATGCAGGCGCCAGGTCACCTCGACAACCTCCAATGAAACACTACAGGCCGCTGGTAAGGTTGACATTTATACATATATTATATACTTTACTGCGAATGCATGTTTTTCTGCAAAGTTTGTTTTGTTTTATCTTTGAACGCTTTGAATGTCGAGTTATGTTAGATGAAGGAAAATATTCAACAATAAATAGTAACTACTAAGTTTATTCTTAAAGTTTTGCTGTTATTTTTCCTTATTATATATAAGTGTCGTATTATTAACTAAAAGAAAGGTTCGCTAACTCGATTAGCGAGGTGTGTGACGTCAGAAGCCTGCATCACACGGACAGGGTCGTTCTGTATGGATAATGGGATTAAACGAATAGTGAAGACAACAAGAAACAGACGTACAGATTGATACAGTTGATAAACAGAAACAAAGACTATGACACACAGTTTACTTTCCAATATACAAAATAATATGACTAGGTACATCCCATTAAAATAGTGTAATTTTTGAATCTAGTACTTATATGTTGATATTTTGAACTCATAACTAATCTTAGCCAAAGATCGTTTATCCTGAATAATTATTGAATGTAATACGATACAATAATGTACATACTATTATTATTAAATAAATTTAACTAGTAATAATTTTACAGGAAAAGAAATGTAACAAACAAATAACATCGATTTTGACAAATTATAAAGAAAATTGTTACTTCAATGAATGGATATAGGACGAATATAAATGTATACCTCCAAACTAAGCAGAAACAATAGTAATATGTTAATTATGAAACATTTCCAGGGCTCGGCGGATTCGAACTACTCGCAGCCTTCATCGGAACTATCGTTGGACGAGGGGAAGGAGGCCCAGCGACGGGAGAAGGAAGCTCAGGCTATATCACAACTGGATAAGGCACGGGTGAGTGGGGGGGGAGGAAAAAGGAAGTAAGGGGGGGGGTAAGGATGGAGGCATATGGGAGTCTTTCGCATTAAACTGTCACTGTAATATTAAAGCAAAGCTAATTCGTCACTGGTAGTTCCTAAGGATTAAAAATATTATAAAAGAGAATGTTTGTAAGGATGTCTGATGGTATGTCACGGATGAAGTACTGAACTGATTTCGAGGGAACATTATTGTAATGTAGCTTAGAGATCAGAATTCCTTGAATTACGAAGAATTATAGCACAAAAGCAATATTTTGCACCAAGTCACGTGACTATACTATAGACGTGGCTGACATTAAATATCTCGATGACGTCATCAGCTTCAACCAGTAGGTAATATATTTGAAGTATGTCACAACCTATTTCAGTCCAAGCCGGTAGCGTTCGCGGTCCGTACAAACGTGGCGTACGATGGCACCGCGGACGACGACTCCCCGGTCCACGGCAGCGCCATCTCCTTCGACGTGCGGGACTTCCTACACATTAAGGTGAGGGCATATTAAATAATACGTCATACCCTCATATAATACGTCATACACTAACCTCACTCTAACTAAAATCCATTAGAAGCATCCACTCACCAACTTCCTTTCATGAGTTGTACCATCTTAGTCCTTAAACTAACCATTCCTTATCTTTCTCAAGGTCACAGCCAGGAAAGTTTCCTTTACTTATCATTCAGATCATGTTAGTCTTAGTATGAGTAGTCAGTGTAACTAAAGTTAACCGTTGTTGGCGTATTCTTCCAGGAGAAGTATGACAACAACTGGTGGATCGGTCGCCTGGTGAGGGAGGGTTGCGACGTCGGCTTCATCCCTTCCCCCGTGAAGCTGGAGGCGGTCCGCGCGGGGCTGGCCGCCCGCCGCTACCCCCGCCCGCCCTCCGCCGGCGCGCCCCTTCCCAGCAGAGGTAGCACACCCCCCACGCCCGGTACGTCACCTCGCCACACATAGCCACACGTCGTCACATATCGCCACAAATCGCCAGATTTAACCTGGTTACTATTCCTAAAACTAGCCATGAGAATGGGTGTTTCTCTGCTGCTTTTCTTATCTTAGTGACTTATTTTATGAAGATAAGTCCTCTACTAAATGATCTTTTATCTCTGGATGTGTTAAGGAATGATAACCAGATGAAATATATTTAACATTCCATCTTGACACACAATTGTATGATAAATTTTGTGGCCTCTACTATCAAAGGGTATTATTTATTGAATGTTGTCACGGTTTCACTAATTGGCATAACTTATAGTAAGAATAACAAAAACAAATTGTTGTAATGGTTTATACACTTACTAACACAAACGCCTGCCACTTTAGCACGAGATGATGATATAATAGAAAGAGATCTTCCTACTATGGACCAACGTCAACAAAAAACTCATTTTATAAGCTGTATTGTATTTTAAAGTTATAATATCATTTTATCCTGTAAGAGAATACTTCTCTTATTTTGTCAAACTTCTAATATAAATAATAATAATCATCTCGTGCTAAACGTATACAGAGCAGTTGAGCCGTTGTCTCTCTGTATTGCGGTGTTATATTAACATTGTGACCGTGAGTCGTAACCTCGCCTCTAACCAACTAACGCCGTACCAACTTTCATACATGAATCTGGTCTATGAGCAGCCCGCATTGCTCGTGAGTCACTCACTCTCACCGACCACATCATTCATCGGTGAAAGTTGTGTATTTCCTTGGTCAGTCGCACTCACTGTTGACGTATTTTCAGATGTCCCCACCATCGACCGAGGTAAGATCACTATCGACCAGGAAATGTTTCCAATTTTCACCCGCAGTCAGTTTATTTGGCCTTTTATAATTGATTGTTAACTCTGTGTATTTAGTTCTGTTTATTCTTGGTTCGCTCTTCCATCTCATGCTCCATCTCTGCTACTCTCCAGGATCGTTGTGTCCCCATGTCTTGGGAACACAATGAAATCCATTTGGTTATATATTATTTTGGGTGATACTTCAATAGATTGTTCAATGAACTTGCTGTATATTCTATTGAGCTGTCACTGCCGGCACGTGAATGTCCTCGTTGTAAAGTGTGTAATATTTTATTTAGTATCTTTTGACCGGTCAGTACAGCGGTCACGTATGACCCGCCCTGTATGTCATGTCGTATGTATGTACGTGCTGTTGGTTCCTATGTGAACAGTTATAGTAGGCTTTTTGAATTCGTAAATGGTCCTGGTTTATTTAGGCATGTTTTAAGTTCTATCAGATCCTGCCGATGTAACTTTTATTTTTACGTATTGTTTTTTTTATCTTGGAATCCTTACTGAGAGCATTCGAAACAAATTAAAAATTATCAACATTGTAGATGGGCAATGAAAATAGTACTGAATGGATTTTGGAGACAGACTTATTAATGTATATCTGATAATCCGGGGGAAGCCTTCTGTTAGTTTTGTTGTATGAAGTGTCCCAACAAGTCGGTCTCACAGGCGAGGACTCGGACTCAGCGGGGCGCGGCCGCGGGGCGCCGCCCGCCGGGAAGGAGAAAAGGAAGCCGTTCTTCAAGAAGCAGGAAGCCTGCACCCCCTACGACGTGGTGCCCTCCATGAGGCCCGTGGTGCTCGTGGGGCCCTCGCTCAAGGGCTACGAGGTCACGGACATGATGCAGAAGGCCTTGTTCGACTTCCTCAAGAGAAGGTTCGAGGGCAGGTTGGTTCGTTGCATGATCTCGAAGTTACAGGTTCATTAGTAACACTAGCTCTCACTATACTGATAACATAACGTCGCCCGGCACCCCGGCCACTCTTACATACATATAAAAGGTGAACTCGTGGGTTTCAGGATAATAATAACCCGTGTGATGGCGGACATATCGCTAGCGAAGCGGTCGCTTCTGAACAACGCCTCGAAGCGGGCGATCGTGGAGCGATCCAACTCGCGCTCCACTTGCCTCGCGGAAGTGCAGGTACTCGACTCACCAGTGGCCTGTTTGCAGGATCATCATCACCCGGGTGACCGCGGACATATCTCTGGCGAAGCGCTCCTTGCTCAATAACCCGCCAAAGAAACCGATCATGGACCGAACCAATTCGAGAACCAATTGCCTGGCCGAAGTTCAGGTTCGGTGCATCAGTGTACTGTGGAGCTGATCCTTTAACGTTCTCGTGATGCTCCTAAGACTTACCGTAACATCATTTCGTCGCTGTGACCATAACATATTTTTTAGTTTGTCGACTTAACCGATAGTTGCATGAAGATTTTGCTGATTTTTGTTGAACCGTGTTTAAACTAACAGCACCCCGTCATGACGATGCATACCGTCGCCTCAGAGTACCTTCACTGACCGAGCCACCGGACCTCATACTAACGGAGCCTTGTAACCGACGGCACTAACCGCATCAACCGCATGCTCCTGTCACCTGTAATGATCACTGTGAGTGAGAGGACAGTTTCATGTGCGAGGTGTATGTTCCAGACGGAGATCGAGCGTATCTTCGACCTGGCGCGAACCCTGCAGCTGGTGGTGCTGGACTGTGACACCATCAACCATCCCTCGCAGCTCGCCAAGACCTCGCTCGCGCCCATCATAGTCTACCTCAAGATCACCAGCCCCAAGGTCACCACCCCACACACTCTACATATGACTTCCCCCCTAACTGTCCGTTATATAACACTAGAAGAGCCGGCGAACTTCGTATCGCCTTATTATCAAGAAATATCTATTACGTGTTTTTAATATATAAATTTAGGTTATACCTTAGCCTCAGAAACACACGGTGGTTATGCTATTATTAAATAGTCGCTCATATATGACGTTTGTATTTTTAACATAGCGCCATCTATTGAATACTTACTTAACTCAGTCAACAGATAATTGTAATAATGACAAATAATTTTCTTTAATAGACAAATAATTTGCAATAAAATAATATTGTGACTATAAATTGAGATGTAAGCTATTCTATCTTTCAAGTTGGATCAAAATGCATACGGAATGCAAATCAAATTTAAAATCGGTTTAGTAGTTTAGGAGTCCATCACGGATAAACACGTGACACGAAATGTTTATATATATAAAGATTTATAATAACCGTTGAACCGTGTGTCTGCAGGTCCTCCAGCGGTTAATAAAGTCCCGCGGGAAGGGTCAGAGCAAGAACCTGTCGGTGCAGATGGTGGCGGCGGAGAAGCTGTCCCAGTGTCCGTCGGAGATGTTCGACGTGACGCTGGACGAGAACCAGCTCGAGGACGCCTGCGACCACATCGCCGAGTACCTGGAGGTGACCACACTGTACACGAGCAACAGACAACAGACACTAGCTACCTAAAACAGACACTAAATACTTTTAGGCCAGTGCAGAAGCCTTTAAAATTAATGAAAAGTGAAAATAAATTATAGTAGAGTGAAACTCATTACAAAAGGAGTGGAATATTATAAAAATAAAAGGAAAAATAATTTACGGGCGATCTGAGGTCGGGAAGGGTATGGGGATGGGTATTTAAGGGTAAAAAATGGGTTTTCTCGATTTCCGGCAAAACTAAAAGTCCTACGGAAAAATGTTGTATGGCAAAGTTGTAGGTAATAAAAACACCTTAAACTTTTATACTAACTTTTGTTCACATAACCTCAAAATTTATGTGAAAAATACGAAAAACCTATTTTTTGGTTTTTTATTTTAATCTCTTCAAAAAATCAATTTTTGTTACGAAATTTGGTGAAAACTTTCCTTTTGATGTTACAAATACACTGTAATTTATTTGATTAGAAATATTTATCTTTTCTGCTTATTTTGAATAAATACCGAAAAATCAGGATCATTTTCAATCGAAAAATCACCCGTCAAAATATCAGCTAGTTTCAAAAATTTTATATGATTTCAATTTGTTGAAATCTCTACTTTCCGATGGTGAAGAAAAAAATATATTTTTCTTACATACAGTACCAGTACCATTTTTGGATAAAATAATCAAGTCTCTTTTAATGAAATGACACTCGACATCGTTTTGAAAATGCTCTTTCTAATTTATTTTTAACAGTTGTGTACTCTGGAAGTTCTCCAGATAGTCCCTCTTTTAGGTAATTTACAGAAAATTGAAATTAAGCTGCTAAAACTATTAAAAATAACTTGAAAGAGCTTTTTCCAAACGATATCGAGTGTCAATTCATAAAAAGGGACATGATTATTTTATTCAAAAATGGTACTGCAAGTAAGAAACTTATATTTTTTTCTTCACCATCAGAAAGTAGAGGTTTTAACAAATTGTAATCATACCAAATTTTTGAAAATAGCTGATATTTTGACGGGTGATTTTTCGATTGAAAATGATTCTGATTTTTCGGTATTTATTCAAAATAAGCAGAAAAGATAAATATTTCTAATCAAATAAATTACAGTGTATTTGTAACATCAAAAGGAAAGTTTTCACCAAATTTCGTAACAAAAAATTGTTTTTTTGAAGAGATTAAAATAAAAAACCAAAAAATAGGTTTTTCGTATTTTTCACATAAATTTTGAGGTTATGTGAACAAAATGTTAGTATAAAAGTTTTATGTGTTTTATTACCTACAACTTTGCCATATAACATTTTCCCGTAGGACTTTTAGTTTTGCCGGAAATCGAAAAAAAACATTTTTTACCCTTAAATACCCATCCCCATACCCTTCCCGACCTCAGATCGCCCGTAAATTATTTTTCCTTTAATTTTTATAATAATCCCCTCCTTTTCTAAAGAGTTTCATTCTACTATAATTTAATTATGTTTTAAAAGCTAACGGCGCTGGTCTATTTATGGAATAACCATTCTAAAATAATCAAAGGACGAGCATTAAAATGGACTATTTGGTTATCACATTAAAATATGTAAATGATGTTTCATGTCGTTCTCATTTAATTCTAGCGGCCAGTTATTATATACAACATGTGTGTGTTCCAGGGCTACTGGGCGGACACCCACCCGCCCGTCGTGGAGCCCGCCGCCCGACCTCCGCACGCCTCACACGCGCCTCTACCGCACCCGCACTCACACACGCACGCGCACGCGCACACACACCACGCGCAACCTGGTGAGTACACACACCGACACACACATACGCACACACACACACACACACACATACACAAGCACACGCACACACAGTCACAGTATAGAAACAATCTCTGTTACCACTTCACTTAAACAGAAGTAGAATAAATGATGACACACAACACACTCACAGTTAGAAACAGTTCAGTTCACAATGAGGGCGAGCGAATAAATGTTTGAAGGTCAATGACCCATGTGGGGTTGTTCTGATGTACGTTTATTAAAAGCTACTATTTACGTAGGTTATTCAAGCCGAGGCCAAACGCTGTCTGAGTATCCGTCAGGTACCGACCTGTTTAGATGTCGTCTCGTCTCGTGTACACTAACGCCCTCTACACTCGCAGATATTAATCGCTTTAGATGTTCAGTTGTTTACACTGTTTGTGAAATAGAGAGTCCTCTTTCAAACTAGAACTACATATATTAAAAGCTCTGTTATCAAGTCAGGACACGATTCTTTATCTTCGAACTATATCTAACTGGAACTATAGCTGTAACGATAATTTCAACACTGTTTAAATCATATCCTATTAACTAGTTACATCGCACACATTATTCTTCATTATTAACGGATTACATTCCTCTATCTCTCTATCTGTATCAAGTCTGTACATAAACCACTTCATCACAACTCATTCATTTCTAAAATAACATTAAATTTATAAGATATCAAAGGTTGGGGGAAAAGATATCCATTATTTGTCGAACAAATTCAGATTTAAGCTCATTGGCATTGGAAAGGTGACATTTTGTAATATTGAGTGACTTTTTCTTTTTGGTTAGTACATCAGTAGTGAGGGAAGATATTGGAAATGAACATAAATATTTCTTTACATTTTACAATATTCTGTTCGACAGAGGTGTAAATATAAGTCAGATGGTTATAATTATGAACGGTATTTAAAATACCGATACTGTGACAGAGAATTAAGTGCAAGTATTGGTTTCATAAATTCTGTTAAAGACGCACCTTGCACAAGTCCACCGTTCATTGAAAATGCCGATAAAATTGGAGAAATGATTGCAATTAACATGTCACGGTAGTCGTGACACTATAGAAAAGAGTTTTGAACCATTGCTAGTATCAAAAAGTCACTATGTTTGAATGGCACAAAAATCTTGCAGAGAAAAAAGTGATGGTCCTAGTTGCCACTTGCTAAGAGCCGTGGCCAAATGAAATGAGTGAGATGATTTTTTTTGCGCATAGAGATCAGGGAACAAAACGTTGCATATTCTAATATCAAATCAAAGTATCAAATTTCAAATGAGTTAAAGACATGTTAAATGAGACTAATTTTTTTTTATTTTTTTATTAACAAAATGAAAGCGTTTATCTCTTCTGCCCGTGATCACAGTCGCTGCCAAGGAACCGAAACGTTGGGAGTATGTAGCTTTAAAGAAAATGAAACAAATATCATTACCTAAGCATGTTACATAAAACCTTAAAGTTCAAATAAAAATAATGGATTTCTTTTCTACCTAGTAAATCAATGTTTATGTATGTCATAATATATCCCTATAGTATGTTTATGTATGTGTGTATGTGTGTGTGTCATACTAACCGCTCTGTGTGTGTGTTGATCCCCCCGCTCACTCCGGCGGACACCGCGAGAGGTCCGACTCCTACAGCTACGAGAGGGGACGAGGTAACAGAATAACACTACTTACTGCGCCCTGCTTTACTCACACACTCACGTACTTGTAGTTCTCTTAGTATTCATTTACTTTCCTAGCGAGTTTCTATTACAACAAGTTATAATCGTCTCTCCTGCTATCATTAACAGCACTTCTGCACCACCTTCTTAGCCTTTTATTTAACTATAATTCTTTAGATCTCATTTATATATTTTCCTTACATCTAGCGATTGAATCGCTGTTTGTAGTGACGTCGCTTTTTGCTTGAAGTAGTTCATTATTAGTTTGGAAAAGAATTAGATGGATCCTAGTGTATAGATGTATTACACATATGTATATATCACTAATAGTTGTATATATGTAGGTACTGTACAGTTGTAGTGTTAGAGGACGCGTCACCTCACTCGTCATGTCACGATGCACTGACGTCATGTATTCATTTCAGTACAAGCCTCTGGACAAGCGCATTAGCTCCAGGACCATCTGCAGACCATTACATAGCCGTCACCGACGAAGCCTTTCAGGTTGAACCATTTGAATCGATACCAGCTTGACTAACGGGGTGGGACTTTACTAACACGGCATTGTGTCGCTCCTCCGACCGCTAACCTCCTGCAGACATCACAAGCGCCGGGGACCATCAGGGTTGTGATAACGTCAAAGACTCCACAAGTGTCGATGTTCGCTTCTACGGCGGCTTTAGTAGGTGTGCTTTTCCGCAGCAGAGGCGACCGGCGGCGTGCTGCCCAGCCCGGGCCGCGTGCGGAGGGAGCTGCGCCTGGAGCCGTGAGTGAGGCGTGCCTCCCGCGACATAACGAGCCCCGCCTGCTTACTAACACTAACCACCTCCCCCCTCCCGCGTGTAACCATCTGTGTCTGATGCAGGGCGAGCCCGCGCGCCGAGGCCGGAGCGGCTGGAGGAGGAGTACTACCCTCGTGAACACTACCAGCGGTACCCGCGGGACTACTCCAGGGACTACCACGAGGGCTACTCGCACGACTACCCGCACGGCGAGCCCTACGACCGCGAGGCTTACGGCCACGACTACACGCGGGACTACGGCCGGGAGCCCTACGGCCGGGAGTCCTACGGCGGCGGGCGGGAGGAGCGACCCGCGCGGCCACGGGAGCGTGAGCCCTCCGACGAGTACGGAGCGTCCCGCCGTGCGCTCAACGCGGTCTAGCGGCCCCTCCCCCCTATCCGCCGCTGCCCGCACGCCGCCCCCCCCCCCCCCCCCGCCAGCAGCCCGCCGCGTGTCGCCAGTGAAGCTAGTGAGAGGTCGTCTCCGGCCACATTAGTATCGTGTCAGTAACTGGCGCCACATTCACGTCCCACAGCCGGTGTCGGTCGTTGTACACGTTAGTGCGTAAGGTTCCATAAGTCTGATACTGTAGGCCGGGTGCGGGTGCGGGTGCGGGTGGTGGCGGGTGCGTCCGGTTCTTGTTTCGCTGAGCTTGTGCACGCTTCCTTCGAGAGTGCAGTGAGGACGGTCGGCTTGTGTTTCTCTCCCCCCTCCAGTCGGGAGCCTCCTCCTCCGGCTATCAGTTGTTCGTCTCAGTTCCCGAGGATCAGTTCCACATGAATCCCACGAGTTATATTTATAGTTATATATTATGTTGTGTTTCGTCGCCCTTCGTTATATTTAATATGCTTTCAAGGAACGTATCGATGTTCGTCTTCGCTAAAGTCCGTTCGTTGAGTTCTCCCGAGAGCGTTTTATTAAACCAATATTTATAGGTATATAATGATCGAGGAGTTTAGTGTAAGAGTAATTAACTTGAAATGCCTTGAGTCCTGGTCCAAGAGCCCCGAGATTCTTTATTCGGCTGTCTCGTTCGATCCCTATTTATTTTCAAAGTGTGATCGTAATGATTAGTGAGCACTGTATAGCTTTCGGTCGTCTAGTTAAGTTAGGTAAGCCACGGCGCTGTTTTGCGTGAAATGTATAAAATTTAAATATAATTTAAGTGCCGTGAGATATTATCTGTTTCCCATTTTTTGGACATACTCTTGTAATTATAATGCATCGTCTGTACTTCATTGTTGCAATCATTTGTAAATAAAATACTTTATATCGACTGACGTGTTTCACTTACATTCAAATATTACCCAGACCTGACTGAAGCTTTATTAAATAATCTCTGACGGCAAATTATAATAGAGGATCCCGCTATAAGGCGACCTTCACCGAGATGCTTATTTGATGAAACATATCTTATATTCAATTTAATATGTCAATAACTATATTATGTATGGGTTGCCTCATAAATTTTTGTCCAGGATATGATTAATTAACAATTAAAAATAGTTTTTTTTTCAAATATTTCACCGGTTTGATTATTAGATAAATTCCACACCAATCGAAAGTACGGAGCCCATAGAATATAAAAACGTTAGGTTGCCTATTCTTTTCCAGTCACAACTCTCGGGTTGCCAGGGATAACCAGGTACATCGATAGTAGCATTTTGCACCGGTCTGTAAAAAATAGTTTGTAAACCTTTTTGTGTTAATGATATCCAGCACGGAGGTCTGGAGTTAGAGTCAAAGCCTTTTCATCCATTGGACAGACAAAGAGAAGCATCGGTACAATGGTTAAGGAACACATTTCAGACGTCAAGTTATTAGTCAAAATATTAGTTTAATTCAAAGCCTTTGTTTTTTTAAAAAAACTGGTCACTGTCTTTAGCAGAGTAATTTTTCATTAAAATACGATATCTTGCATCATTCACGTTAGTTAATTCTTAGTTCCATATATATACAAGCTGTAAATTCTTGAACTATTTTCGAAAATTCGATGTGGCCGAAGGCAACAGATCCAATATGCATCAAACTTGAACCTGAGAGCTGCGGATGGTGCTTAGATGAATATTTAAAACCACGAGGGTTCCTTGGGGATCACACAACTTTAAGAATAGTTGATATTGTCGAAAGAAGCGAAACAAAGAGTGATGACGAAGAAGGTGCAGATGTCGATGATCCCAGTTTTATCTCCCATGACTAGGGAAGTTCATGTAAAAAATATATCGATATTTTGTTCGATATAATATATCGTATTGGTGTATCGATACTTTACGATATATCGAAAAATATGTCGATATTTTAATAATATCGTAAATAATTAATATTATTTAACTAGGCTATAACATTAAATAGGGATCAGGTTAATTATAAGCAAAATCACCTTAGGGCGTAGAAACAAATCAACTTTATTTAGAAATCATATAATCATATGAAAAAAAATATCTAAGGACCAAATCATATGACCCAAAAGCCATGTTTACTTTTATTGTAAGCTTTTTCTTTTATTGTATAACAATATTAAATATTTATAAATTCCAGTACTTTTTATCTAAACCTTGCATAAACAAAATTGTATGCAACCTTTTGGTTTGCAATCTGCTTCTTTGCTGTGTAAGTACCTGGGCAGCTTTTGAAAAAAGTCGTTCAGATGGAACTGAGCCAGCCACCATGGATAAATATTTAAAAGAAACATTGTATAACATTGGGAACTGTATTTTGTAATCTGCCCACACTTCTAGCGGGTTTTCGTTAAACCGACTGACTGGAGCCCTCAAATAAAGCGATAGCTCATCCGAAAGACTTTCATCAGTTTTGTTTTCCAGTTCCGCGCAACCAGTTTATGGTGATCACTCCAGATATCCGATGATAAACTAATTTTGTCTGAATTGTCAGTGTCAGATTCCACAGTAGATTCAACTTGCTATTTTTTTTTCATCTCTTTAATTTTATTGACGGCTTTTGCGCACGCCAAAGCATCTTCAAAATGAAGTTTTTTAAACCTTGGGTCCAATATTGTAGCAATAGCTAATGATGATACCTTTTCTATACAATTCGTCTAAACAATTTATAAAAACTGTTTTTTATGTATGTTAATGTAATTGGCATGCGGTATTGGTATGTATTGGTATGCGATATATCGCATGAAATATATCGATATTACATTCGATACTACATGATACGATACGCCCACTACTACTGATGACTCAGATGCTGAATAGTTTAAAAAAGTTATATGTTTTTATAATTTTGAACAATAAACAGAGTTTTTTTTTTGTTTTTGCTTGGGACCTCTCATTCTCAATCGCAGAAATATTAAACTTTAAAAATCGACAACCCTAATTTAGGACTGATTTTTCGGAGGCAACCCTATACTACCTTGTTCGTAATTAAATATTCTGTTTTCATTTAAATTTGATTAAATTATCAGACCGGTGAAAAATGCTACTATCGATGTACCTGGTTATCCCTGGCAATGTTGCGTTACAGAAAGGGTTAAAGTGTTCGATATTATCAAATATGTAGTTAGATATTACTCAAATATCTAATGATTCAATTGTTTTACCGGCTCGTTCCTAACTCACAAGATAAATAGATCCTAAGAAGTTTCCGACGATCAGACGAAAAGTAATAAATTTATAATTTTGGTTATATTTTCCTCAAACGGAAAATCTCCACGTTCATGCAGAATTAGTGCAAGGACTTATTAAAAGATTCACTCTTCCTGTTCAGGTGATAAAGTTCAATGGTCTTAATAAAAGATAAAAGTAAAATGTATCTCGTCATAGTTACTGGCTGACAGTTAGTTTTCAGTTGAAAATCATAATACGGTGGCATTAATGTCATGGGTTTTATTTTATTTAAAAATATGCAACAAAAATCGTACCAATAATATATTCATTTCCTTTCAGTACCCATAATTTTTAGCCAAATATGGTTATGTGATGTTATGATATATCGTTATAAATAATGACATAGGTACAAACATATAAAAATATAATCAATCATCTTGTTCGACTCTGATGTCGCCATTGTTTTTTTATTTTTGTCAAATATGTTGCACTTCAGTCTTTTTATACTGAAAATCAAAAATTGAAAACTATATGACAATTTTTGGTCAGCTTGTGAATATTCAAAGTGTATAATAGGCCAGTGCAGAAGCCTTTAAAATTAATGAAAAGTGAAAATAAATTATAGTAGAATGAAACTCATTAGAAAAGGAGGGGAATATTATAAAAATTAAAGGAAAAATAATTTACGGTCGGTCGAGAAGGATATGGGGGTGGGTATTTAAGGGCAAAAAATGGGTTTTCTCGATTTCCGACAAAACTAAAAGTCCTACGGAAAAACATATGTTCAATAAAATTTTGTTCTAACCTTTTTTCACATAATCTCAAATTTTATGTGAAAAATTTGAAAAGACGAATTTTTTATTCTTATCTTTTTCAAAATATAATATTTTGTCACGAAATTTGGTGAAAACTTACCGTTTGATGTCCCAAATACACTGTAATTTATTTGATTAGAAATATTTATTTTTTCGGCTTATTTTGAATAAATATCAAAAAATCAGCCTCATTTTCAATCGAAAAAAAATGCGTCAAAATATTAGCTATTTTCAAAAATTTTGTATGTGTTCTGTTTGTTGAAATCTCTATTTTCCGATGGTGAAGAAAAAATATAAGTTTCTTACTTGCAGTACCATTTTTGGATAAAATAATCATGTCCCTTTTAATGAAATGACACTCGATATCGTTTGGAAAATGCTCTTTCAATTTATTTTTAATAGTTTTAGCAGCTTAATGTAAATTTTCTGTAAATTACCTAAAAGAGCGACTATCTGGAGAACTTACAGAGTACACAACTATTCTTGTGAATAAGTGCTTGTGCACTTATAGACCAGTGCCGTAGTAGATGGAGTAATGTGTCTTAATGTGTCTTTTTAATAAAATAAAACAAGAGAAGAAGAAAACAATATATTCTATGACGTCCTTGATAGATCCCCTCAGCAGCGGCCCGCGGGGAGCCGCTGCGACACTTTAATAAATAAACATCACAATACATAACAGATAAATAATTCTTATTTCATTTAATCGCTTGCCTCTTTGGTCTCTACTAGCTAATTAAATATACCTATTTACATAATTTAACGCGGCCCATGTAAAAAGCACACAATAATCACCTCTAACGTTACACAATACTGTCTATAATACCGTGCGCTTTGAGCATGGTTGATACAATTTTGATTTCTCATAAGATTCCGAGGTTGCAAGGCAACTTAGACTAGATACAAAACAAACAGTGTTTCAATTAATGGACGATTACAATAATTCCAAGACTTTATAGTGTGCATACATTCAGTACAGTAAACCGCCCTAAGAACAAACTCGTAAGGCCGTCTCCTACCCTCGGTTCCTTCATCGTACTCCTCGCCGTAACACTTCTTTGGTTCCTCTCCGCCGGACCAACGTCTATACATTACTTTACACTATACACAGTCACCTATTTACAATTCACTTGAGTCTCTTTCTCACGTTTCTCTTGTCTTTCTCCAAGTATCTTCTCATTCTGACTAGGTTCGTCGCTAGTCAGATGTAAAGATAGTCGTTTTTTGTTTCCCTGCAGTAACTTATGCTGGGAAACTTGTACACGGGACTGTATCTCTTGTCTCCTTCCGACTCAAGAGATAGGGCTGACAGTGCTCTGGAGGGGTCGTCGTCCTCTTGAACGGGCTCCGGTGAAGGGGCAGGAAGAGAGAGGGAAGGCAGGGGGAGAGGCAGCGTCCGCGGCGGGAGGGGGGGCGCCCGAGGGTTTCTTCTTACTCTGAAGTGACAGTCGCTGTCCTGGGGCCACGCGCGCTGCACCATCAGTGGCAGGTCGTCCGGATGTAACTTACGTTCGTATTCTTGAGATGATGACACCTGGAATGAACAAATATTGTTCGAATAAATAAACAAAATGAGAACTTGATTAAAGATTTTTAAGTTAGTATATTGACGTTCTAGCGACGCTAACCTCATAGAGCGAGAATCGTTCCACACCCTCCGTTGAATCATAACAATGTAGTAATATGGCGAGGAGCTCGTCGGCCGTGGTCCTCTCGCTGGCCAGGATACACTTGTACTGAGACGAGGACATCAGCGCCGAGTCGTATATCTTCACGAGACCTCCTGGACGCATCTGAAGGGAGAACCTGGAATAAATATAAAACATCAGTTTAAAAAGAGTACACGTTTGAGATTTAAGCAACGTTCACATATAAAGTAATAAAATGTATAAAGTGTAAAGTAAAACTAGTTAAATAGGACATATACTAATAGAGCAACCAAACAACGACTCAAGTATTTTCCTTCCTTGAATTACAATACATGTGCTAAGCTATGTACTTGTAACTGTCAGAGAATATAAATTGTCATGAGAAAAGTAGTTTATTCGAGAATCGTATTACGTAGTTCGTGTATATAATATTTTTAAATGTTATTAGGTATATGTTTAATGATGCTCCCTTCCGACACCAGTTCGTACCTCGAGTACTGAGTAAACAATACCATCTAGCATGTGTTGTTATACGTAACGCGATACACTCGGTCAATAAAGTATGGGATTTTTAAAGTTTTTTATTACTGTTTCTATCCAGAAATAGAGCGGCCGGAAGGGGACGGGAAAGAGACAAAAATACCGACATTTTGGGAACGCTAGCCGGTGGTCTGTCTTCAGGGAATCAAAGGGTTTTATATTGTTGACAATTGTTACTTGTAAATAATCATTTAAATATCTTTTGTTTTATCACGAACATAAAGTAATGACTAAATACTTTCAACATGCAATCAAAAGGCCGTGACATCTTATACGTACTATACTGATTGTTATTTAATTAGGACAATAATTATGATTTCATTGTTGACTACAATTTTTAAATAATTAAAATTAAAACATTGATCGGAATACGCTCTCTAAGGCTATCTTTTAATAAAGACATAATATATCAATATCATTACTAGAACTAATATAAAATAACTTTTTGTTTACTCATGAATTATTTTATCCCTTACTTTTCGAAAAGTTTGTATTCAGCCATCCAAGTGAATTGGATCCAGGAGAAGCGGATATTGATTTTAAACGAATTTTCTGATTTGAAGAATATTGGAGACTCACTTGGAATATCCCTTGGGATGGCAGGCCTGCAGCGCGGCGGGTCGAGCGTCGTCATCTAGCAGGAGCGTGGTCCTCAGACCCGCGGCCCTGACCCGGACCTCCATGCTGAGGTAGAACAGCCTGGGGTCCCGGTGCCTCATCCTGAACTTCCCCAGCAGAGTCGCCACCACCTCCTTGGCGCGAGTGCCCCACGTCACAGACAGGGTCTTGTACTCGATGTCCGGGCGGAGACATCTCGCGTACACCTTGATTGTAGTCTGAAAAACACGAAACATTTCCATGATTAGATTTCCTTATTAATTTGATACAGGCAATTTCTTTTATGAAATCACCGTCAAACTGAACGGTTCCAATGAACGGTAAGGTTTCAGAGAGGAAGGGAATTTAATTGAAAATAGTTTTTACACACATTGATAAACCTCGCAAAAACATGAAGATTCTGTAAAGAGATAAAAGGAAACAGGACATTGAGAAAAAAACAGGAAATAACAGCTGTGTGTGTGTTAGTGACGCACTTACATGTGTAATATATGTACTGACGTGTATGGAGATACGAGTTGACGTTAGTAAATAAAAGAAACATTACGAGATGATCAGCTCTTTGAAAACTACTGTAGGAAACAAGACTTCAAACCAGAAATAAGAAATTAAATAATATTTTATAATAGGAAGCACACATATGAGAAGCACGGGACAAAGTATTTTAGATTAAAACGGAAATGTAACATAATAATAATTTAGTTTTTGTTATATTTATGTTAGCCAGTAATGAGACCGGCCCGAATTATTAAATGTATTTCACAATACAAATGAATACTACAAGCTTTATGTAGTTGATACCTGTCGTTATTTAAATCAAAGATATCCTTACAGCTGACATCCTGTACACTACTATGTAGCCGCAAGACTCACCGCAAAGAGGATGAAATAACAAATCAACATTGAGAAAGTTAACATTTAGACTAAATACTTATTAATTAACTAAAAATTATAAAATATGTTTCACTAAGTAGGACACTTTAGATCAAGTTATGTGTTATAGTAATTCTACGATAAAAATATTTTTAATTGGTCACCATTTTTGTGCATAAATTAGGCGTCCTTTGAATATCCTATCATCTAGCGAACAGATTGTGTAAGTAGGTTAATTTAATATATTAGGCTATAGAGGAAATACCGCAAAAATTGCACCAAACGTTCAACGAGCTTATAAAATTATTAGTCAACGTATCAGAATGCAAGGATTGTGGCAAATCAGGTTCCCACGGCCGCTGTGTGAACTTCAAAAGTATACAATCGTGATACAGAAAAAATACATATTACTTTAAAGTTATTATATGATCAATAACTAATACGTAATGATCGCTCACTCACGTGGATATTATCCGGATGGAAAGCTAATCGCATCCTAGGAGCGGGGACGGGCGCGCGCGGCTCCATGACACACGCGTTCAGTGGCGCGGACTGTACTGAGCGAGGGACTACGAGCGGACGAGGAGGGCAGCCCTGGGGGACTGGCAGGGCTGCCACGGGGGTAAACTGATACACCTGCCCCTTACAGGAAGTTACGGGGGAGAACGAGCGTCATACACTCAATGAAAACATATAAAATGTTACGAGTGAAACATGTTTCCTTCAATAAAAAGAAAGCGCCGGTAAAAGCGCATCTTTTATTTCTATACCCGTCCCAGAGGAAATTGAAAACTGTCGCCGGAGATGGCGAGCTCGTGTCATCATTATTATAACATTTTCTTATAATTGGCTTCACAGAAGTTGCTTCTAATTATTTAAAATAAAAGGGACAGAATGAAACAGAAGCGGAGAAATGAATCAAATGAGTTCATCAATACGACGTCCCACGGTGAACTGACTACATCTGATTGTATTCATATTGCCATGTGACCGTAAAAATATGCGCTTGCGCAGTTAATGTATTGTTGTTTTAAAGTAAGGGGAAATAATACACATAGCTGTGAACATTGTAGGCGTCATATTTAGATAATATTGAAGTAATTATTAAATATTTCTGTCTTGGTATTTTCTATCTATTTACTGGAAATAAATTGTACATTCTAATCGGTCACGGATCAAGTAATATAGTAAGTTAATAGAACTTTAAATTGAAAACAATTTTAATGCTTAATTTAGAAGGTTAGCTGAAGTTGAACCGTGACTTAATCGTCTCTTAAAACTAATCTCAACTTTATATTTGGATCATTTCGTTATCTCTTAACTGTGATAGAGTCACTGAACACTCATCGGCCATACTACATCGATTATCATCACGATTATGGGTATTGCGTAACGTAACTTGAACCTTATTATAATGTAATAAAGTTCACTGCCAGCATTATTAATTACATAACTCGCTTTGATTAAATAAAGCCGAGGTTAGAAGTCGGATGTTCCGTTTCATGAACTAAATAGTTCTTCATTATTCGAGTGTCAGCACTAATATAACAACAATACTATCTTTTTTGTGTCATTATTAAATTTTCATTTTATTTCCGGTCAAAAACTGTAGGTTCCTGTTTCCGTCGTTTAAAATATGAAATCTAATAATGTGTATTTATAATAATCCTAATTCTAATCGGACACAGGACGCCACGAATTGTACGAATGAGGTGTGACGCCACTCCAGGAAATTAGGCAGCGGGTCATTTTGATCTCTATGGGGGCGTGTTAGAGGCGATAATTGACTTAATGTGTTTAATGGAGCTCCCGAACAGTTAATTTGTGCATCCGCCGGGAGTCGAACCGTGGTCAATGATTCGTGATCACCGCCCGCTATTGAACTATGACGCGGTAAATGACGAACACATTTCCTAAGTTTCTTTTCATCTTGTTTAGAAACTAATCATATACATGATAGATATATTCTTTCAAACAGTCTCCTAAGACGTGTGTGTGTTATAAACATGATGTATACAATCCTTGTAGGGTCATATTCAACATCGTTGAAGAAAAAATCCTATCCACTTTAATGTGCTTAATAGACATGTCGGGTATTTCTCATCAAAATACCTCTTTTTTATTGTTTGTTATTTCACTGTATGTCTGTGTGGCATTATTAATAATAGTTTGTGTATGTGTGTGTGTGTGTGTTCTTATTACTTTTCTTGAATCACAAGCTACTTCTATTGTATTCCCATTACTTCTTTAATAGATTGAATTCCCCAACTATTTTGTGATATGAATATATATGAATTATTATCGATATGACAATTTTGGCAACGGATGTAACTTTGCTAAAAAACTAAATATATTTTTAATAATAATATATTTTAGTGTGACATATTTTATTTTCATACATAAGTTAGTTTATTTAAGTCCTCAGTATTCCCAGTAAGCTGCTCCACACTCTCGCCAGTTGCCTACACTTGTTACTCGGTAGTAAAACACTTTTAGATTTTTTATTTCAACTGTATCTAATTTTAATTGTTTCCAAGGACTGTTCGTTTGTTATCTTTCTTAAATAGTTTTAATATATAATGAATTAAGTAACTAGTACATAAGTAATATGTTGTTTAATAATCTCGTTAATATTTCAAAACTTTTGTATTTACTGAAATTGAACTTCAACATTTCACCAAAAATAAAAATGTACATATATATTGAGAAAAAAATATGTTTTTGATTGATTTAAACTAATATTTATATAATGTTGTATGTACCGAGTCACAGCACGTGTGTTTCAAGTGGCCGCACTACACTCGCGTGTAATTTGTTTGAATGGAACGAGTTTAATTAAGACAAAAGCGACTGAGACTATCAGCTGGCAGCTGGCAGACGACCGTACACCTGGAGACTGGAGGCTGGAGTCGGGACTCTCAGACAGAAATAGATTACACTGGGACCAGATTAGAATTGTATTAGATTTAGATGAAAACAATCTCGGATTAGAATATAATTTGTTCAGAACATTTATGAAACAGATACATTAGTATCACGAATTAAAGAAGTCTCAACAAAAAAACTGTTCTAATATACAATACAAATATAAAAAATCACTAATGAAATAAAAAACATAGTCTTATGAAAGAAGATATGTTTTTTTGTGTTTGAGAGTATTTATAAATAGATGTAAAGAGGACAAAAACTGTACCACATAGTCTTAGCACGTGTCGGTTACGTGTCGGCTGCTAGTCGTCCAGGTGGCAGGATGTAGGGACGGCTCCTAGTGGTATCAAGTTAGAGGATTCATTTGAGAGGCTGTGACAAACATTTGAAATATCAAAGATAATTCCTTCAGTCATAGAATATTCCTACATTCCTGTTACTCCATCAGCTATTTACGAGTGGATAACCACGGATAATACTATAAAACTCGCTTCAAACGACTGGTCGGCGATTATAAAATTCTGTAGGTGTTATAAGTTCCTTGCGCGGAGATCATTTATTGAATGTATTAACATATGTTTATGGTCAGAAGGAAATGTAGACATTCCCGACAATGAGGCGGTGAGGCGACCGTGAACTATACGAGGGTTATGTCACGCTGTGTTATGTTGTGTCATGACATATTACACAATAGTAATTAATTAAACAAACCTTTAACACAAACTGGACGATAATTGTTTGTAGCGATCACATTACTGAGTATGTACAGAGCTTACAAATTTGATATTCTTTCTTGCTTGTATGTATTTATTGTAACTAATTCTAGTCGAGTCATCAGTCAACTTTGAGCAGATCACAGAAAAACTGGGGACTTAAGAAGAATGATTATGCAAATTTGTTTATATTTTCTTGTCAAAAGTTCATACAAACTAGTATGAAAAAATAGTTATAAGCAATAGTTATCATTACATAAATATTGAAGTATTTCAATGGTAGTTTAATTTTTTTCCAATTTCTCAATACCAATTATTTAACAACGCGGAATGAGATGTGAAATTACCTATATACATAGTTTTATTATAATCATTATTGCAGGTGGCATTCTTAAACATTTTAATTCAAAAAATCTATCCTCTGATGCAATTTACAAAACACGTACAAGCAGTAAAAAAATATAAACACGTAATTTTGTTAGCATTCCGCATTTATTAATTCCGTCGACTTATTTTCATGCATATTCTACAAACCACTGCGAAATTCTATCAAAATGTATGAATAAAATATTTCACTAAGCCCAGAGATCATCTCCGTCCATTACTGAACGGTATCAATAAACCGCCAATCGTTATCAGCGGACGTTTCCTATCAGTGACCTTCAGCCGTCCGCGCGACCAGCTACCGGGAACTAGGATTACAA